TTAAGGCAAAATTCATAGACTAATTCAACTTTCATCAAGCATTATTATTAAGTACTAAGTCAATGTTCATCAAGGACCATAAGCCACGCATTAAATGAACTGACTGGATATGTAATCAATTAGCAAAATGTCAATAATTGTACTTTCATTATAAATATTATAGTCAAATAATTTGATTTTCTATTACCATTTTTTAATGTTAGGTAATTATTTGTTGTATAGCTTTTTCCATCAAGTTTAAAATTATTCAATAAGCATTTTCTTTATCTGATATGAAGCTACTAGGAAAAATTTTGTTCCTAACACGTGCGCAGTGTCTTTTTCGCACGCAAAAAATTATAAGAACTCGGCTTCGCGTCGTTCGCCTAACTAAACTACTCAACACTAATTTCGTCGCACATCAAAATGTCGCCCCTGTCATAATGTGAATAACTTTTTTCAGTTTAGAACAATTTGAATTTGGTTCACACTGTTCGATAGCCCAGTCCTTCAGCTATAATCTGGTACTTCATTGAAACATAACGCACATTCTTGAGTACTGTGAGCGGGGAAAATATGGACGCATTCAGAATGAATTGTTTTTCCGAAAACAAGTTGGTTTTCATTCAATTCTCCTCCCAACCAAGATTCGGAGGGCGTTCCATCTTGAGTCAATTCTGATATTCAGATCTCTTCATCTGAAGTTTTATCTTCAAAATGAGCCTAAGATTTTCAAAATCGGTTGACGTGGAAAAAAGTTATGGCTGCAAAACCAAAAAGTTAATTTTTTGAGATCACTCTGTAAATAAGAGAGATAGGAAGTTGATTCGCGAAATATCTCGAGGTAATGGGATCATCTTCATGCATCTGTTGTCGAAGTTGAGAAAAACATTCTTTTCACCATTTGAGAGCCTTTTGAATATTCCGAAATTTTGCACAATGTCGGAAAACACCATGTAGAGATTTTATGTAATTACCCTTATGTTTCAATGAAGTACCAGATGAAGGACTGGGCTATCGAACAGTGTGAACCAAATTCAAATTGTTCTAAACTGAAAAAAGTTATTCACATTATAACAGGGGCGACATTTTGGTGTGCGACGAAATTAGTGTTGAGTAGTTTATATTTGCGTGCGAAAAAGAAACACTGCGCACTTGTTAGGAAAATAACTATCACCGGAAGAGTCCTGTCAAGGAACATTGTCCGGAAACTGTACTTTCCAGCCAAACAATTTTCCAAATAAGAAAAGACATTTTCCGACTGGGTCCTCAAAAATATACACATAGACAACATTCCCGATAACGTCAAGTTTCTTTGTACAGGCTGAAGTTTATTTAGGTATTCAGTCACCACGTGATATTCGTTCGGATGTTATGGGGAGAAATATGTTGAAATTGTATATCAAGAATGCTTTGGAAATACAAGATGGTTTCAAATCAATTACAATATAGGTTTTGTTCCGCAGCTTCAAACTTGATCAAAGCATCTATCAGATGATGAAAATGATAGTGTTTGATTACCACAACAACCTTGATTTTATTCTCCAAAGCCTTTTTCTATAGTGCAGCAAAATCTTCGGAATATTTTTCTAAGCAAATAATTACTTATCAACAAAGATTTGAACCGTATCTGTGGCAAGCTAGTTCTATCAAGCAACAAACGAAAAATATGCGATAACTGAACCAAATAAGAGATCAAATTGTTTTGATGCTAACCTGTATTCAAACAGATGCTAGGGAACATCTAGAAGCAACAACTAACTAAAAGATGACGGCTGGACCTGAAACCTGAAACAAGTAATCAAAGTTTCAGATTACTTGTTCACCAATATCGATACGAATAAAAATGCATTTAAAAATGTATGTATAGCAATGATCAGAATATCTCAAAAATCATAAACAGTAAATCAAAAATATTAATCGGTATCAGGTATGAGGAAAATTCAAATTACGAATTTCAACAGTAGTGCTTCAAGAATACAATAATTATAAAATACCATAATGTGTAGAAAAAGTCCATAGCCATCAAAATAAAATACGGTCATGACAAAAATAATCAAAATAATTTCCTTACCTTTTTGAATATTCTCGAACACATTCAAGAAAGTTCAAACCAAAGTAATTTATCTGACAGTGGCGTAGCTAACATCCCCGCAAACACGGGGAAGCGGGGGGAGAGGACATTTGGGGTCATATTGGGACGAATTCTTATGTTTTATCTGTAGGAAAATTGCAGCCACGTGGAACATTGACACCCAATTTGAAGAAGAAATAAATAGATTTACAAAACGATTCCACGGTGAATTAGCAGTTGATGAGACACTGTCGGGTCCTGAGTTGAAATTCAAGGTTAATATTGACTATAATAGGTCCTTGAGAACACCATGATTTGCCAGTTGAAAAAAAGATTTGACGGAATAAACACAGCCAATTTTTATTTTATATTTTTTCAACTCAGGAATCCATCTTAAATCAAAGTGACCAAATGAGCTTCTTTTATCAGCTAAAAAAGTAGGCGAAAATATGATGATTTAGATTAGGATATTGCCACCTAGATTGCCACAGAAAAAGTAATTTTTAAAAATATCGTGAAGACGGATATTGTTGAGAAAAAATGTGTAGAGCTCGTCGAACATCATATATTAGAAAGCAGTCGTATATATGTTATATTTAACTCTGCCAGTCACATCAGCCATGGCAGAAAGAATATTTTCAGTACTAGAATTGTTGAAAATCTATCTGAGAAGGACCATGACCCAGCTGCGACTGTCTGGCTGAGTATATATTGAGTATAGCATGAAATGACTGAGAGTCTGGACTTAAAAGATATCATATCAAAATTTTCATCTGTTAAGAAATGAACGGGTCTGTCTAGTTTTTGTTGTTCAGTCAAGGAGACGAAAATGTAAGATAAATGAAGAAGAAAAGAGTTAAATTTATATTTTGCATTGCACCCATGTTTGAAAAGTGTAGCCTTTCGAAATTGAATGTATCCTTGTACTTGTTTATATTCATTGGTTAGTTTATATTTATATTAAAAATTGGGTTAGCGGGTCAGGGCGCCAGGAGGTCCCTGCGGGGGAGCGCGATGAAAGTTAGCTACGCCACTGAACATTCAAGTAGGTTCTTTGAAAATGAAATTGATAAAAAATACGCATACTTTCTCGGATTTGCTCAGATGAATACCATAATATACACCTCATAGCCAAAATGTCACACACAGGTAATATCATTTCAATATCAGCTCCAAGCATCAATAATATTTTCAGTATAAATATATACACACACGATCAGTAATTAATAATAACTTAGATAGATGTGATCAATATAGGGCATATAATAAGAATTGATAAAATATTTGCAGTAGATGATATATCAAATTTGTAACAACAGTATAAAATATCAATACTGGAAGCATAATTATACGAGTAGAATCACCATAGATGTCCATAATATGTGTTAATTGAGAAATATATAAGGAAGATGAAAAATTCGAATGCCATAGACAGCTTGCATCTTCCGAGGGATCTCCATATTATATCCTTGCACTGCAAAATATAAATCATAGCACCAGTAGCATCGCTCATTGCAAAAATTGTCTCAATAGGAATCCACAAAGACTTGAGTACCAACTGTAGTACCAACAAAATATCAACGGTATAAAACATCGATAGTGGGTGTAAAACATATTATGAGTCTGTAGTTTCATAAATATTACGAAGAAGATGAGAAATTGTGTACCACAAATAGTGCTTGAATTATTAGGGTTTCCCGAAATATCCTTGTAACGAAATCAATCCTAACTGTGATGTGAAATTCAAGTGCATAAATTGTGTGGCCATTGGTGTCCCAGACATTGATACATTTTGAGAAGTGTGATTTAAAATAAACACGCAAAAATGTGGTACATCATTGATTCAACAGCTAATAACTCATGTTTTCAATGCTCTTTTTTACAAAAATTAACCTCCATATATATGTGTGCGAGATATTCCATGAACGTTGATACTTAGAATATCTATCTCTAGGACACCCCACCCCGTATACTCGAAAGAAATTTCACCATAAGTAATATAGGTCACAAATTGCATTATTTTCATGATGTATAAATATCGGAAACTGAACCATGAATATTAGACTGGTCCCCCTCTAGTTATGAATTATAAATTTCCCAGTCTCGGCCGGAGATCGTCTCGTACGATTCACTGTTGCTTTCCAATCGACAGTGCTTCTCCCAAGGTGGCGAACGGAGTCAGTAACGAAACCTACACAGAACACACGTTGGGTGAAGGAATTCAACGTAAGGTCGATGGCCAGTTGGTGTGTACGCACATACCCACTAACAAAGTACGTGAATCAATCTAAACCATGAATATCAAACAGTAATAAAAGCATGTTATTATCATCACTAAATTCAGGTAGATTATGAAAAGACCATATATAGCAGAAAATATCACTGCAATATCATTAGAAATGTTCTCATCAAGTCAATCAATGAAAGATATAGTTAGTTAATAAAATAATGTCAAGTCACAAATGGTATTCCATTCAAATTTGGATAGTATCATAATAGCATCGATTATACGGGGATAATTCACTTGCTACCGGCAAAGTCACCAATGATTTCATAATGGTGGTCACTTTTATACAGGTTGTCTCATATTATGTACCACGTCATAATCACTCGTAGTGAAGGAAAATGTAGATCAAAGGATTTACCTAGTTATGATAAAAGATCCATCACCTCGAGATAGTTTGCTTCAAAATGTTTAATATTCTTCTGAGTATTTTTTCAAGTCGGATTAATCAATCAATCAAAATTATTTTCCTGCTTAATGAATGAAAGTGGAAATTTATATGAACAGTAGTATAAAAGTCGCAAAGGCCGAAACACATTCCAACCATTATGTATAATACATGATTGTATTCAGAATGAAAAAAGCTTTCCGAATCTATGACAAAATAATCAGTTCTGTATTTGAAAAAAAAAATTATGATGATTCCACGAATACGGAACGTCGCATAGAAAAATCAATAAACGTAAAAAGATGTGGTAGATTTTTCAACAATTCACTGTTGATATAACTGACAAACTTTCAATATTTTTTTGAGATCTGTGAACATTCTCATGGACAAACGGTACATTCTGGTATATAAATAAATTGGGTCCAGTCGATTTATTTTGACCTCTATTACATGTGGTAGATCTGTGTCCCAGCAATTTTGGGACACCCTGTATATTTTACATGAATAAGTATACAACAATATATCAACTCATTCGAAATATAAATCATGAACCGCAAAAAAAAATATTTATAATGAAAATTTATCAAAACCGCACAAATTTTTCCCGGCAAACCAAAGTAAAATGCCAACCATACAACCCATATTTCATGGCTTTTTGAAACCCTGTATATTTTACACGAATAAGTATACAACAATATATCAACTCATTCGAAATATTAACCATGAACCGGAAAAAAAAAAACGAAATATTCATAATCAAAATATATCAAAACCGCACAATTTCTTCCGGCCAACCAAAGTAAAATATCAACCATGCAACCCATATTTCATGACTTTTTTCTGGGACTATTGAAATTCTAAATATGGAGAAAAAATCTAGTGAGCTGGAGTATCTGGTACAGGTTTCTGTGGCCGATACAATACGGCCAACTCGAGGAAACACTTATTTCAATTGTTTTCCTGTCAAACCTACATAACCTTGGAAATCGTAAACGAGTTGAGTTTCCCTCAGCGGTGGCGGTAATAGTAGTAGTAGTAGTAGTATCGATTGTTAGCTTTTGATCAGGGCTCTGATTTTCTTACTCGTAATGATCCTGTAACACTCAATATAGAATGTATCCACTTATGTTGCAAATGAATATCACTCGGAAATCCATGAACGAAGACGGTTTCACTCTTTCTGGTAGGCACAATAAGAGGAGAGTTTGTTACAAATTATCAACAGAATAAACCATTATAACACTGGGAGCACAACACAAAACTATATCTATAAACGAAAGGAATACTAGAACAATGTAAATTGAAAAAGAATGATATTTTAGGAAAAAAATTCAAAACAAGTCACGATAGCACGACAGCTCTTGACACTGACAACTTACAGAACCACAAATTTCGAAAATTTTCTACAAAAAAGTGAAGATCATTTCGTCCGATACGGTAACATCCTCTAGTGGTCATACACTCAACTGAGCTATAGGGAAGACCAGTAGTTCCAGCTCACTAGATTTTTTCTCTCCATATTTAGCAGACAATGATCAGAACAAACCGCTCAGAAGCCTTCTAGTTGTTGCCGTCAGGTGAGACGACGTATCATTTTCTATCGCGACCTCATTCAATATATCATCAATCATGGACTGCATAAAAATAAGAAATGTTCATGTTCAATATATACATATAAATATATAAAAACCGCGCAATTTATCCCGGCACCCTTTGGGATATACCATGCCAGTAGGTGAAGAGGATCTGCAAACAGAAAACAACAAACGCCAGAAGTATTATGTCATGTTTAATATTTATACACCTTCAAGCAGTCGAACCGCTTTACAAAAATTACATTAAGAGATAGTGACAATGAGACAACCAACAAGAAAAAATATCCTCCAGAAATACGCTCGCAGAAAGTAACAGACTTCGCAATTCGTACTTCCAGTTTGAAGACTTGAGGCTTACCATCTCTCTAGTCCAATATACACCCCTACAAATAATGCTAACACACCGATATCTCGTAACTACATTATCAGAAATATATTGAAAGAAACTAGGAGGGGATAGAAAAATCCAATAAAAAAACCGTAGCTCTCATATACATTATTATACTCGCAAAGCATTTCGTAAATAATTGCAAAAAAATCATATACAGTGGGACATGTAAACAGTAAAAACCTAATGAATACTGTGATCAATCAATTTTATTGGAGCCACTTTTCGTCTAAAGAAAAATGCAATGAACAAAAACAAAAATCCTTAATCTCTAGTAAATCTATTATAAGTGGATTTGCTTTTTAGTGTAGCTTTCTAAACGCCGGACAATCAGGAGTACCGTGGTGTAAGTGCTTACAACTAGGACAGATGACGATTAAAACATTCTTAATGACTAAGAAATCATTCTCCAGGTGGTCATAGTCGAGAATTTCAGCCACATTTAAAATCTGCAAATATATAAATCAGGTATTTCGCTGCTAGATCTGCGCCTGAAAAAAATATGGCGTTCTGTCCACACAAAACACAATTTAAATTCGCTTCAACATTTGATAACATTCAAAGTGATTGAATATTTTTTGCTTTCACCCGTTTTCCTTCTTTGTGGAACAGAAAAGTTTTAGTAGGTTTCCATACTTATGTATAAATGCTGAAAACGAAAATAGATTCGTTCCCTTGAAAATTCGATGTTTTTTCATAAATCAACTCTTCTCCAAACATGATTCAAAACAAGATGTCACTGACTATTGACAAAACAAATCTTATCAGGCTCTCTAATAATGAAATTGTTAAATGCAGTGAACATTTTGAGGAAAATCATTCTAATTCTTCTATTTATACAGAGTGCCCCATGTGAAAGCGGGCCACACCCTCATAGATTTTTCATTTTCATGAACAGAATTTGACGAATTTTTTCCGAAATGTGGGAGGGGTAAAGGCGTACTTCGGAGCCAAAAAGTAGTAAAAATATTCAACATTAACGATTCTTTGACTAAATTACTGACAAGTTGTTCATCATGCATTTTATTTCGTTTACTGAAGTAACAGATGACAGTATTTGAAATCAATTTAAGTGTATTATTTTTGAAAACGGTCTTTTTTAGAGTGTCTATTAAATGTTAATATTAAATCAAGTTGTAACTCATTTGTTATCGTACGGGTTACTAGACAGTAATTCCATGGAATGGTTGATGTTGAATATTGTCAAGAAGTACAAATGTCTGAAATAACATCACTCAAACTTTCGTTCATTTTTAGATCCTTATTCATTAATTAACTTTTCCAAATTAAAACATCTAGTACAGCGTTTCGATCAGGTCAAAGCGGAGTTCATAGACTCTAGTTCCGGTAAAATTTGCATGAAACCGCTTAGCTTGCGATGCGGGCTAAGCTATACGCCCGGTATCGAGCATTGCCATTGCGGAAAATTGCAATGTTAGCATCGATTCCAAATATAAATAGATTCCGAATCGATAAGCGGGTCATTATTGATCACCCATTTCTGATTATTGATTATTCATTACTGATTACTGATTACTAATTCATTACTATTAGGTATAATGCATTTCGATAACACTTTACTTGATTCTGTAATTGAGTTACTTATTCACGAGTTGCTGCCAAAATGTGTACCGTCCTCCCGACTTTGATCCTGCTGGTCAACCCCATGTTAGACGTCATAATGTAAGTACTGTTTTTCCATGTTCTATCTGAATTGTCGTTTTGTGTTGTGTTTCGTTTGGTAATTTACTATGGTTTGTCTATGCTACTTTGCCATGTGGCAGGCATTTATTCACGACTTTCCCATTAAATCAATAAATGTTAATTTTATACGAAAACTATCTTGACTCTTCATTTGGGGATGAATATGGTTGGGTGGTGAAATGATCAAAATCCTCTCATCAAGCCAAGCGAGTAGCCAAGTTGCGATCCATAGGAGGGCAACATCTGAGTTGCGACATGTGGTGGACACGCCGTTTGCCAAATAATCTACCAAAACCATCTGAGTTGCGACAATATTGTTTCATGAAACCTGGTGCAAATCTATTTCATATGAAGCTAATATGGATTTTGTATCTATCAGCTTCTGAATGTGATCTAATAGGTCTTGGTTTTTAGAAAAAGTTAACACTACTTGGCCTTAAAATACACCACTTCCCCCCTTCACATCTAAAAAAAGTCGTCAAAATCACTACATAATTGGGTACTCTGTAGAATGAAGGAGTGAAAATCCCAGAAACCGCGACAGTTTCAAAAAGGAAGAAAAACATTGGTCGATCATTGCATTTGACACATCAATTTGTAAACAATATAGCTATTTTCGTAAAAAAATTAAGTAATCTAACATTTATGTTGATGTGGACAGAACACTGATGAAGAAATATTGACACTACATAGAAAACAATTCATATCACATCAGGTAGCTCGCAGTAGCTCCTGAAATAAACGAAACCCAAAACATACGAAAAGAATGAGAAACAATATGAAATCATTTATGTGATTCAACGCATTCGGAATATCACCAGCAACACCGTCGAGCATATAATAAATATATTGTTTTCCAAATAGGCAATCAATTAAAACAAAAAACATATTATGAAGGGGAAAGAATCATTAAAACGAAATTCACTTACTTTCTTGGTTATAATATTCAGTTATCTCCGTTACCGGCACCACCCTGTCCATAACCGTACGACGGGAAGCCGTACCCTCCTTGTGGAACACCGCCCGGAACAGGCGCTGCTTGACCTTGACCGCCATAATACCCTAAAAAATATATACAGGGTGTTGAGAAATAAGTGTCACAACGGAAAACTGTGGATTGCTCATGAAAAAAGAAAACATTTTTTCCTTTTCGACGCCCTGTATCTTGAAAACGGACGCCCGGAGAAAAATTTTGAAGAGGAAAAAAATGTTTTTTTGTATTATGAGAAATGTAATTCTGATCACCCTGTATCTGGAACAGATACAGGGTGATCAGAATTCTGAATCTTGAAGCACCCTGTATTTTTCCAATCAAATTCCAGTAGATAGTCAATCAAAAGTTAAGATAGAGACATGTAAGCCGTTTTGATCGATAATGAATAGTTTCAACACAAAAAAATCCTAAAATTGAAAAATCTCGATTTTGAACACTCTATATCTCTGTAATCATTCCTGCTAGACCCCAAGTGTGATGCATTGATGAAATCAGCTCTTCAGAAAGAATCTAAAAATGCAATAAAATACAGGGTGTTCTATTTGAAATAACAAAGTTGCTAGTTGTTTCTGATAGAAGTGGCAACACTGTATCGATGAAAATATTTTAGACGGATAGAGAATGTTCAATTATCGAAGAAACCCAATTTTCAGAATGTTCTGTCTTTTCGTTCTCCAGATACTTCTAATAGGCCATCCACCGTGGATCACCCTGTATAATAAACGCGTCCATTCTCAATTCATCTCCCTCTCACGGGACATATTTTTATAAGGAACAATTTATTGGAGTTTCTTGTTGAGTTCTCCTGGAACAGATTCATTTTCTTTTTGTCAACGAATAATGGGTTATTGAAATTTTTATGCAATCGGGATGTTTGACAGGGTGAGTAAATTCAACTGATAGTTCTGTGATTTTGTAATCAATGAGTGCCCTGGCGATTAAAACTCAAAACTCTGGCGATCCAACTCCAAAAATCATATGAGACAATTTGATATGAAAAAAATTGCATCATGACAAAAATATATTGTTTTTTTTTTCATTACCTGAAGCAGGTGCCGAATATCCACCGTAGGCCTGTTGGGGTTGCTGGTAACCTGCAGGGGTGCCACCTGGTGGTGCGGCAGCTGTTGCTGCGGTCTGTGGAGTCTAGACATAATTTTTGTTAACCCATTGAAGTCCGTTGTCCTCGTTCAAGGACAGTGTATTCATTAAGTGGGTGTTAAACAAATGAGCATCAAAAATGGGTTTGCAACTGCAGCAGATAGTATGAATGGACCTACATTAGGCGAGAGTTTACATCATTGCTTGTAAATATTTCGCCTTGTGAGTCTGGCTGTAGGCAGGATTGCCAAATCGATATTTATTCCATTAATATACAGTGTCATTCATAGAGTCGGCATCATATGGGAAAAACTTTTATCAATGACTTTCTTTGGAATTCGAGTTGGACGTTAAGTTTTGTTTCAAAAAAGATGAGAAACGGCCTACTCAATCTGGGTCACGTGACTTTCGCTACATGTCAAGTGACATTTTTTCAAATTAATCGCTGAAAGTAGGCTTATTTGTTCGAATATCGAAAAAGTTTACTTGAAAAAGTTGTTTCTATTTCAATTCTACACATGCTTCCTGAATTTGATCTTTCTATTGCAACTTTTAGGTTTTGATTTTTTTTTTTTAATTTTTCGCAATTTCTGTAATATTTAAAGAATTGTGATTCCACGAAACTTTCAATTACTTATCATCACACTGAGTATGGACAGAAATATGATTTTCTTCAGAAAATGATAATACCCGCTTCGAAATTCTGTTATGTTTGATGCAAAGTTGATATATCGTCAAGCATTTAGAAACGAAATTCATTTAAACTGATCTTTTCAGTACTGAAAAAATAAATTTAAATGAATTTCGTTTCTAAATGCTTGACTCAAACATAACATAATTTTGATGTTATGTTTGCATCAAACATAACAGAATTTTGAAGCGGAGATTATCATTTTCTGAAGAAAATCATATGTTTGTCGATAATTAGTGATAATTAGTAATTGAAATTAAGTAGCATGATGAAGCTACTGGTATGAAGTAGTTTTATCGAATTTACAATTTTTTTAATATTACAGAAAATTCGAAAATTTTTAAAAAATATCGAAATCTAAAAAATGTAATAGAAAGATAAAATCCGAGTCACATATGTAAAATTTAAATAGAAACAACTTTTTCAAGTAAACTTTTTCGATATTAGAACAAATAAGCCTACTTTCTGCGATTAATTTGAAAAAATGTCACTTTTGACATGTAGCGAAAGTCACGTGACCCCGATTGAGTAGGCCATTTTTCATCTTGTTTGAAGCAAAACTTAATGTCCAACTCGAATTTCAAAAAAAGTCATTAATAAAAGTTTTTCTCATATGATGCCGACTGTATGAATGACACTGTATATACCTTATCGAAAATTCAGTAGATTTCAGTTATGTATTTTTTTGTGACAATTTATCTCTGTTGACAAGTAACAAAATATCACCATTCATGAAATAACTTTTTTCCTGGGAAAAAAAATCAGTATTTTTGGCAACTAATCAAGAGCTTAGACGCATTGAAAAATTAATTGAAACAGATGATGCCCAAATATTATGAGTGTATGATTTTTCACTAGGGTTCAGTTCTCATCACAAATGAGAATAACTTCGTATTTAATGAATGTATCCAATGGGAAACATGTTGTTTCCATAGGTATCACCATGAGAAGCAGTTCTCTTGAAATGTGTAGGAATAGTTTCCCATACGATACTTCAAGAATATATCATCTCAAATTTTCATGGGAGTTTTTCCCATGGGAACGAACGAATTCCAACGGATTCGAGAATCGGGCACCAGAACGGAACAAACAAAACGCAACTAATGCAAAACACCGACCTTATTCTTCATCTGGGCCTCGATCGCCTCGGCCTCCTTCATCTTCCCGATGCTCCTGTAATATTCCGCCCACTGCGAGCTGTAGTCCGGCTGGGCGGCCACCGCGGCGGTAGGGGCGGCAGCGGCTACGGCAGCCGCCGGGGGAGCTCCCTGCGGCGCCCCGCCTCCCATTGCCGCCGCCGCCGCCGGATTGGCCGTTTTCGACTTGGCCTGCTGCTCGATCATCTCCGCCTCGCGGTGCATGCCTGGAAAGATACGTGGGAATCGAGTATTGCGCGGAAATCTCTAGTTTATAATAGTATATAGGGTGTGACATGGGTACACTAACATAATTATTCAAGTGATGTATTCCTGCGACAATTTTAAGAATACAAGACTGTGCAAACAGATGCTTAGTTTCGGAGATACAGGGTGTTGAAATTGATGTTTTATCTCTTTCAAAAACTAGCTGAACCCGCAAAAGTTGTTATGCTGTACAGATTATTTCTAGAATATATTTTTCAAGTTGAAATTTTTCAACACACTATTCTACTTGTTTTTAGTTTGGCTATCAATTTATTAATTTATTTATATCAGTTATGCATTACATTCTTTTCTTCATTGATACATTTTATACAAATCAATTTCAATTTCAATTTTATTCAGAAAATAAAGTGTACAGATAATATTGATAACATATTACAAATCTTGGTGTTCCTTTTGGATCATAAGACTGCACCTAAGCATGCTGCATGCTTGTGTTGTACTAGTCTTTAATCCGCAAGAAGCATTCTAATTGTACAACTTTCATATTTGGCGATTGTAGTATAATTAGCGAATATATTAGGTTATTTGCTTAGAATTTTGATGAATGAAATACATATTCGTGAGATTTGGTGAGTACTAAAAGAGAATCAATTAATGTAATGTATTGTAGATTAGAGTTGAATTTATTTGGACGAAGTTTTTAATTTGTTTTTTGTATTTATTGAAATTTGTTATTGTTTTCATTTCTGGTGGTAAGAGATTATATAGTTTAGGTCCGAAATAGTAGATATACCTTTGAGTGTGGCTTTTTCTGAATAATGGTGTATTGAGGGTGAGATTTTGCATTGCTCTGGTATTTTTTTTATGACCTCCAATGGCTGATTAAAACGATTTGCATTTTGAAACATCCATTCTAGGCATTGATAGGCATATAGGCTTCTAACATCAAGTATATCTAGTTGTTTATATAACTGTACAGTTGAATGAAGTCTGTTTTTTTTTAAATATTATTTTCAAAAGTTTGTTTTGCATAGACTGGAGTTGTATTAAATTATTGCGGAAAACACCTCCAAATAATATATGAAATATAATTAAATTTCTAGGAGGAATGACATGAATGATCAGACAGTCATTCCTGAGATAAGATTATTCATGAAGTATTATCGACTGTTGTATAATTGGAATTACAAATAGTGAACAAAACTTACATATAACAGAACTCATATTATAGTGAACAAGAAGAAAAAAAAAAAAAGAAACAGTGAAGGAAAAAAAAAGGAAGTCTTTCAGATTCTATCATTCTATATAAATATATTTCTTCACTTTATTTTTGAATTGTATAATATTTGGGCTGAATTGAAATCACCTCATGTGTAAACTTTTTTGGTCCAAGTTTAGTATTTGCAGCTTCAAGATGAAACAAGTATTATTGTCTAGTGTGATGACCATGAATTTGGGAATTCCTAATTAATATAAAATTTGATTTAAGCTCTTTGTTGATGATATAATAGAAATTTTGAGAGTATTGATTAAAAAGTGCTCTTTCCTCTCCCAGAGTAAATGTGTTTGTTTCCTTATAAAAGTTCTTTAGTTTTTCAAACTACCATTTATTTTCTACACCTTTTTAGTTCACTTGAATTTCCCAATTTTGACAAAAGAATCATAATCTCCGACCCCGAAAACCCCCAGATACCAATTTTGAATGGAATCGGATCATAATTACAAAAATCGTTCGCCATATTGGATCCGCCATCTTGAGTTTTCCGATTTTCACGAAGGAACCATAATCTCCAATCTCCGGATCCCCCAGATACCAATTTTGAATAGAATCGGATCAAAATCACAAAATCCGCCACATTGGATCCGCCATCTTGAATTTACAGGGATAAAAAGGTTCAGCTGTTCTTGAGTTATAGATGGTGAAACAAATGTTGGACTTTCTTTTATAATGTATACATAGTAGTCCAGTACAAGGGTTTTCTTTTATTGCAAAAGGTGGGGTAGTAGAATTTTTTTAGTATGTTGTTAGGTTTGAGGCCCTTATGAAAAATCCAAGTTTTCGACCTTGAGGCAGTCGAGGCGCATGAGCTCGATCCGCCATCTTGGATTTTAGGTACAAAAATTTACTTATTTGATAACTCGAAAATGGTGGCCCTCACGACAACATCTTTCATACAGAGTTAAAGAAGACGACATTTCCTACATCTTTTGTGGTAAATTTTTTTTGTAGGACAAATATGTTAGAAGTTGCAGCTCCGTGAAAATACACTATTTGGGAAATAAAGTATTAATAGTTATTTATGTATTAAGGGAATTATGAGGGCCTTAATTACCGATGGCAAAGTTTGCGCCCCGAGGGGCGCTGGCCCGAGGGACAGCAATTGCCAGAGGTTATTAAGGCTCTATAATTCCCGTGATACATAGATAATTTTATTTCTGACTGATTTTATTCATTAGATACCTTCCCGATTGGAAGTTAGACATGTTTTTCCGTATAGTTTCAATGTCATCAGAACATCAGATGATGATCTTGACTACCGCGAATAGGAGATTCCTTATTGCTACGTTATTGCGTGGTTGTTGCTATGCATTTCTTATTTAATTTTAGCTAGAGGGAATTATAGCATCTATAACATTCCAAGGGAGTTATGACCCTCATTATAGATATCGTAACTATGACGATATAAGCTTATAATGTCACTGTCAGAAATAAAATTTGTTAAAGTATATTTCATGCAGACCAAAAACGAAGAAATCAAAGAAGTCGCTGGATTTCTCCTGAACGTAGTTAAACATTGCTTCCTGTTCAGTTGATGAAAATGGTAATTTCACATGTGACAATAAACACAGGTTTCAAGACAAATATAAAAAAGTTGGTGCTCCATAGATTGGGAAAGTTCATCCGGATTTAAAAATACGATTGTTCACTGCAAAACAAGCCAAGCCTTACCCAGCGATCTGTAATACTCCGCCCACTGCATCGAGTAGTCCGGCTGGCCGGTGGAAGGGTTCATTTGCACCTGCCCGGGCGGCGCTTGCGACCCGTCGTTGGGCTGCTGCTGCCCGCCCCACTGTTGCTGCTGCTGCTGGTAGCCGCCCTGCGGCACGCCCCAGTTGTTCTGCGGGTTGTAGCCTTGCGGGGCCATACCCGGATACGCCTACACGAAACAGAAAATATGTTTATGTACGAGTGTCGGTACACTACCCTCGTAAGGGCACATGTCGTGTTTCCTTGACGAACACACTCGACTCAATTTTCTAATTTCTGCAATCCCTCTTTCAATCAAAATATGCAGTATTACAGTCCGTTCCAAATACAATTCCTACTGTGATATGGTAAAAAGTAATCATGATCGGTGATTGATATAACTAAATCGTAAATTACATATTGCACACCTTCTTGAAGACTGTGCGTCTAACCAAGCTTCAACAAGAGAAACTTCATCATTTGTTAGGAGATTTCATGTTATTTTTTACTTATTCATTATCATTCATGTTAGGATGAACGAAAAGTAAAGTAAAATGTTCTGCAGTCAAGTTATGCAGTATTAAAGAAATTTCCTAATAGTATCCATATTGTCTATGGCAGAAATCAAGTTTAGTAGGTGATTGGAGTTTAATAGGTGATTGACATATCAAAATCGTACATTTATATATTCCACTCCGTCTTGAAAACCGTGCGTCCAAGGTACTTTTTTTGTAAAATCAAACGCAATTCAAAATCTTTCCATACAATTTGGAAAATGAGATGAGAGAAACGTAAAATTTTTCTAATGGTACTACTCGAATTCGCAACAGGAGAATAACAGTAATGATTCATCATTTCTTGGGCGAGTTTCTAGTATTTTATCAGAATATCGTGAATTTTTGTGATGATTAATGAAACATTCCTGAAATAGATCATATTATAGGCCCTAGAAGACTTAAGATGAGGTAATTATTTGGTTATACTGATATTAATGTGTATTTCATCAATGAGCAAACATTCATCAGTTGCCGCTTAAAACTCAATAAAACACGTACGTTTTGTAAATCAAGTCAAACTATGAGTAACTTCATATCAGTATCATCTTGATAGTACTTCTTTTACACAACTAATTCTTCTTCTTCTTCAGTCTAAATGATTAAGTATTCCAACTATGAAATAGCCACAATGCTCAAATTGAATGAAACTTTGAGCATTGTGGCAATTCTGAGAGTGATTCTTTCCTTTGTTATACTCAGATGGCGTTACTTCAATATTGTTGATGAAATACGGGGTATTTAATTCCGACTATTTGGCTAGGCTTCGCTGAGTTGGCGGTCTTAGGACTGCTGGCTGGAGACTACTCTGCACTGATGAGAGTCAAGGAGCTCGAAACCAGTCTGTGGTTGTCTAGCGTGGCCTGGCTAAATCGAAATCAATTGGCATTCAGGAAAGAATCACTTGTACTGTACCAGTATTCATTTATACGAGTCGATGCATAGATTTCGGGCGGAAGTAATTCAATGTTCTGCGTGGCATTAGCCAGGAAAGTAGTGTGGAAATGACTTTAAGCTTTTTGTATTTATTTATGATCAAGTATTCACTCATTGTGTCTTTTTTTTCAATCTACTCATTGAAGCAATATTCAAAATTTCAAAACTAAGTGATTCATTTGGGTGAAAGCACATATAGGAATTGAATTCAACGAAAAAGTCGATATTCTAGCAAAAGATGCCATAAATTTGTCCACATCAGCAACAAACCAAATTGGCCTCGACGATCTCATTTGGAAATTCGAAAGTATAAACGCAGAGAAGATGTCAGATAGATGGCGCCAGTACTGTATAAATAATCCGACAAGATATACTAAAATTCACCCAGACATTCCCCCGAAGTTCTGGCATTCTGACGTCAATCTCTCCAGAAGATGTATAACTGTCTACAATAGACTCAAATTTGGGCATGGATGCTACCCTGCCTTTCTAGCCAGAATAGGGATAACCAACTCGGACTTATGCGAGCTTTGCAATGTGAAGGGTGATCTTGATCACATATTTTTCAGCTGCAGAATCACAAGACAAGAAAGCCAAGAGCTCTACTCTGATCTTTTGAATATAAAAACTTCCACTCCCATCAATTTGCTTAACCTCTTAGCCCTTAATGATAAGAAAATAACTCAAAGTATCATAAAATTCATACAGAAAACGGTATTGAAGATTTGAATGGAAGTAGTTTAGCTTCGTTCCTCTGTGTTCTACCTTATGTGTTATATACCCTCTTTCAGCGGTCTAGTGTTGTGTGTCTCATAAATGAAAAGCCATGATAGACCCCTTGGCGAGAAGAAACCTTGTGATCCTTTGTTCTTCCTGGTGTTTTCTTCTATTAAAGTTCCAATTTTGCTGGTAGGCTTTAGGATCAATATGAAATAAAAAAAATGTGACTGGCTGTATGGATCATGTCCGAATGCCAAAAAAAAAAAAAAAAAAAACTAAGTGAAAAAACCGTCTCTACACACTCACAGTTGGCATGTTGTTGGACATTTGCGGTCCACCGCCGCCGCCGCCGCTCATCTGCACGAAATTCAGCGGCAATTGCACCTTATCGCTGACGATCCGCTTCGCCGTCTCGATCTGATCGGGATCTCCCTTGATCGTGAAGATTTTCTCGGCCGCGTTCGGATTGGTGTTCTGCCTCCTGTCCAGTTCGCAGTAGGCGCCCGATTGCTGGTTGATTTGTTTGATGGTTTCGCCGCCTGAAATTAGGATATTAAGCAACAAGTGAGAAATAGATATTTACGTAATCAGTTAGGAAACGCGTTGTTTTGTGTAACAATGGGATTTTGCGGGACGAGCGAAGCGAGATCCCGCAACATCACAGAGTTACAAAAAATGGCGTTTCCTAACGTGTCACGTACAATATTGTTTCTAATTTTGACGAAACATTTCGCATGAACAAAAATAATGAACAGTTTTACATGAGTTCTGCCGACTCTTCACACAAAATCTGGTGTTGAAATGAACATTACATCACCAGTTATGTAAAATTTTACTTTACGCAACTGGTTACGTAAAGTAAGACGTTTCAAAACTTCCGTCAGTTTTGAAAAGTGTCAAATTATATGTCGAAATTAGAAAAAGAAACTTTTCTCATGAGTTTTATGAACGAGGAAAAATATTTCTTACAGCATGAGTGATATATGGTTTAGAGATTGAGTTAGCTATGAGAAATACGCTACTTTTCATAGATAGATATTTATTTGACCAAGTTACAAAATACATTTGTTTTCGGCAAGTCAATTGTGGAAGCATAGAATAATAAAATACATACACATTATAGTAAATTCAATAAAATTATAAATTAATATTTTGCAGTTGTAGTAAAAACGATGTATGGAAGATCAAGATTGATTCTTGATAACTTTAAACTTCCTCAACCGATTTACAATCTATTTTCATTTTCGTAATGTTTGTCACATCAACTATCAAGCCTATGGATTATAGTATTTCTTCAGACAGGATGATGCAAAGCTGTGCAATTTTTAAGATTTCAAAAAGCTTCTCGTTTGGAAGAATAATTTTACAATTTTTTTCTGAGCTGAAAAACATATCGCAACATATGTAATCTCGAAACCATTCTGGAACTCTTGAAATGGTCAGTCGATTTGAAATATGAATATTTTAATGAGATAATGCAGAATTTGACATTAATAATTTCTATTGACTGTGTGTTCTTGTCATTCTGGTTCAAGCAATGGTCAAGAGTATTGAAATGATGCATGATCAATTATATTCATTGACACAAATCATAGGGGATCTGTGTGTTAGAGATGCTTTTATTCAGTAGATAAATACGTAGACATAAATTCAAGTTAACACTTCGAAATTCTACGACTTTTCAAGTGAATAGAAAGAACTCTAGAAGAATCCCAATCCCGTTCAATCACAAGTATACGAAGAAATTCGACAAGGTTTTCAAAGACTTAGGTTTTGAAAGCGTTTATCAGTCTGGGTCAAAATTAGGCAATTTATTAGTCAATCGGAAAGATGAAGTGGACACACTTGAAAAGTCAGGAATATACGAAATAGGTTGTAATGATTGTGATAAAACATATGTAGGTCAAACCAGGCGACCCATAAAAACAAGGTTCAAAGAATACATAGCACATTAGAAATATGGCAGGTTAGATAAATCGTGTGTAGCCGAACATATGCAATCACAATCATAAAGCACATATTACTAACCTCAAATTAGTTAAGCAAATTAATAACATTAGAAAATTAGACGCATATGAGAACTTAGAGATATTTAAGAATAGTAATAGAATAATGAATAAGGATAATGGACCTATTCCATATAGCCTTCTATTTCACTAGTCTGAAGTCTAGACCAGTTAATTATGGTTATTCACTGGTGTGAAAAATGGCTACCGTTTTGCTTGAGGAAGTACATGTATCATGAATATTTATACAACAGTCGTGGATAAACATCAGTTTAAATGAAAAATAACCACGATTCCATAAAAAAATTCAGACTTTTCCGAATAAAAAAAACTCACCCCTCCCGATGATCACCCCGCACTTGCCCGCCGGCACCGTGAACGACACCACGTCCTGGTGGCCGCCCCCGCCGTGCCCGCCGCCCCGCCTGTCCTCCCACTGCCCGCCGCCGCCGCCAAAGTCCCCGCCACCCCCGTTGCGGTTGCCCCGGTCGAAGCGATCGCCGCCGCCGTGGTGGCCGCCTCTGCCTCGGCCGCCCCCGTGCCCCCCTCGTCCGCCCCCACGACCTCCGCCGCCGCCGTCGCCGTCGCGCTGCAGGACGCTGTCGATCAGCTCGTCGATCCTTTGGCGGGCCTGGAATCGAGACGAAAAACGATGATTATTATTATTGTCAATTCATCATATTCCAGCATCAAATTCATAATTATCCTACCAGAGGTAATAATAACCTGTATGTACCACGCCTAAATTACACTAGTTCAATGAACTCTGTATTCCATAAAGGACTACTAGAGTACAATGGCCTCCCAGATGAAATAAAACAAAATGAATCTCTCAGAACATTCAAGAAATCCCTTGTTAGATATTTGAAAATGAGATATCAATAAAACTCGTGTCTTTTTTTTTTGTAGTCGATTGTATCGACAATAGTTAAACATATTTATAATTTTTTCTTTTTCTTTATATACAATACGCCGACTGACGTGATTTTACTCTCAATGTGAAACTTTGCGACCAATTTTTACATTGTCTCCGTCAATATCGTAGGAAAATGCCAAATGACAGGAGAAGCAGAAGTATCGAGGAAATGCAAACAAAGGTCGAGAAAATATGTAAGGAAATGGAAATTTGGTGTCACAAAAACTCTTTAATTTTCAACAAAGAGAAAACAGTATGTGTGAATTTTCACCTCCATAAAACATTGCCCAATTCGATCAAAGAAAAGTTTATTTTATCTCAACAGAGAAACTCTAATGAACCTTTATTGCTTACTGCCGAGGTCGTAATGAAAGAATCCTTGGTGGAAATCGGGAAATTCTGGAAGATAGAGGATAAGTGGTCTTCGGAAGTGCTCCTATTGGCAATAAACGCATATAGCTGGCTTTCGGTGCCGATATCTCGAAAAGTATTCGTCCTATCGACTCGCTCTCGGTCTCATTCGATTCAGCAGCTCATTTTCCTTCAGAAAAGTGATAATTCGCGTGGATTTCCGCCGTTTTCCGGCACTTTCGGCCGTCCGAAGGTGCCTCGGTCGTTTTTTCGTATAGGACTGTTAGGAGGAAAAACAAAAATTTTTATTCGGCCTATTAAAAATCTGAAAAAATTCATGTAGACCAATTCGAGGTCGTAATGAAGGAATCCATGGTGGAAATTGGGAAATTTTGGAAGATAGAGGATTAGTGGCCTTCGGAAGTGCTCCTATTGGCAATAAACGCATATAGCTGGCTTTCGGTGCCGATATCTCGAAAAGTATTCGTCCTATCGACTCGCTCTCGGTCTCATTCGATTCAGCAGCTCATTTTCCTTCAGAAGAGTGATAATTCGCGTGGATTTCCGCCGTTCTCCGGCACTTTCGGCCGTCCGAAGGTGCCTCGGTCGTTTTTTCGTATAGGACTGTTAGGAGGAAAAATAAAATTTTTTATTAGGCCTATTAAAAATCTGAAAAAATTAATGTGGACTAATTCGAGGTCGTAATGAAAGAATCCGTGGTGGAAATCGGGAAATTCTGGAAGATAGAGGATCAGTGGCCTCCGGAAGTGCTCCTATTGGCAATAAACGCATATAGCTGGCTTTCGGTGCCGATATCTCGAAAAGTATTCGTCCTATCGACTCGCTCTCGGTCTCATTCGATTCAGCAGCTCATTTTCCTTCAGAAGAGTGATAATTCGCGTGGATTTCCGCCGTTTTCCGGCACTTTCGGCCGTCCGAAGGTGCCTCGGTCGTTTTTTCGTATAGGACTGTTAGGAGGAAAAATAAAATTTTTTATTAGGCCTATTAAAAATCTGAAAAAATTCATATGGACTAATTCGAGGTCGTAATGAAAGAATCCGTGGTGGAAATCGGGAAATTCTGGAAGATATAGGATTAGTGGCCTTCGGAAGTGCTCCTATTGGCAATAAACGCATATAGCTGGCTTTCGCTGCCGATATCTCGAAAAGTATTCGTCCTATCGACTCGCTCTCGGTCTCATTCGATTCAGCAGCTCATTTTCCTTCAGAAAAGTGATAATTCGCGTGGATTTCCGCCGTTTTTAGGCACTTTCGACCGTCCAAAGGTGCCTCGGTCGTTTTTTCGTATGGGACGGTTAGGAGGAAAAATAAAAATTTTTATTCGGCCTATTAAAAATCTGAAAAAATGCATGTGGACTAATTCGAGGTCGTAATGAAAGAATCCGTGGTGGAAATCGGGAAATTCTGGAAGATAGAGGATCAGTGGCCTCCGGAAGTGCTCCTATTGGCAATAAACGCATATAGCTGGCTTTCGGTGCCGATATCTCGAAAATTATTCGTCCTATCGACTCGCTCTCGGTCTCATTCTATTCAGCAGCTCATTTTCCTTCAGAAAAGTGATAATTCGCGTGGATTTCCGCCGTTTTCCGGCACTTTCGGCCGTCCGAAGGTGCCTCAGTCGTTTTTTCGTATGGGACTGTTAGGAGGAAAAATAAAAATATTTATTCGGCCTATTAAAAATCTGAAAAAATTCATGTGGACTAATTCGAGGTCGTAATGAAAGAATCCATGGTGGAAATCGGGAAATTCTGGAAGATAGAGGATCAGTGGTCTTCGGAAGTGCTCCTATTGGCAATAAACGCGTATAGCTGGCTTTCGGTGCCGATATCTCGGAAAGTATTCGTCCTATCGACTCGCTCTCGGTCTCATTCGATTCAGCAGCTCATTTTCCTTCAGAGAAGTGATAATTCGCGTGGATTTCCGCCGTTTTCCGGCACTTTCGGCCGTCCGAAGGTGCCTCGGTCGTTTTTTCGTATAGGACTGTTAGGAGGAAAAAATAAAAATATTTATTCGGCCTATTAAAAATCTGAAAAAATTCATGTGGACTAATTCGAGGTCGTAATGAAAGAATCCATGGTGGAAATCGGGAAATTCTGGAAGATAGAGGATCAGTGGTCTTCGGAAGTGCTCCTATTGGCAATAAACGCGTATAGCTGGCTTTCGGTGCCGATATCTCGAAAAGTATTCGTCCTATCAACTCGCTCTCGGTCTCATTCGATTTAGCAGCTCATTTTCCTTCAGAAAAGTGATAATTCGCGTGGATTTCCGCCGTTTTCCGGCACTTTCGGCCGTCCGAAGGTGCCTCAGTCGTTTTTTCGTATGGGACTGTTAGGAGGAAAAATAAAAATTTTTATTCGGCCTATTAAAAATCTGAAAAAAATCATGTGGACTAATTCGAGGTCGTAATGAAAGAATCCATGGTGGAAATCGGGAAATTCTGGAAGATAGAGGATCAGTGGCCTTCGGAAGTGCTCCTATTGGCAATAAACGCGTATAGCTGGCTTTCGGTGCCGATATCTCGAAAAGTATTCGTCCTATCGACTCGCTCTCGGTCTCATTCGATTCAGCAGCTCATTTTCCTTCAGAAAAGTGATCATTCGCGTGGATTTCCGCCGTTTTTAGGCACTTTCGACCGTCCGAAGGTGCCTCGGTCGTTTTTTCGTATGGGACGGTTAGGAGGAAAAATAAAAATTTTTATTCGGCCTATTAAAAATCTGAAAAAATTCATGTGGACTAATTCGAGGTCGTAATGAAAGAATCCGTGGCGGAAATCGGGAAATTCTGGAAGATAGAGGATCAGTGGCCTCCGGAAGTGCTCCTATTGGCAATAAACGCATATAGCTGGCTTTCGGTGCCGATATCTCGAAAAGTATTCGTCCTATCGACTCGCTCTCGGTCCGAAGGTGCCTCAGTCGTTTTTTCGTATGGGACTGTTAGGAGGAAAAATAAAAATATTTATTCGGCCTATTAAAAATCTGAAAAAATTCATGTGGACTAATTCGAGGTCGTAATGAAAGAATCCATGGTGGAAATCGGGAAATTCTGGAAGATAGAGGATCAGTGGTCTTCGGAAGTGCTCCTATTGGCAATAAACGCGTATAGCTGGCTTTCGGTGCCGATATCTCGAAAAGTATTCGTCCTATCGACTCGCTCTCGGTCTCATTCGATTCAGCAGCTCATTTTCCTTCAGAAGGTGATAATTCGCGTGGATTTCCGCCGTTTTCCGGCACTTTCGGCCGTCCGAAGGTGCCTCAGTCGTTTTTTCGTATGGGACTGTTAGGAGGAAAAATAAAAATTTTTATTCGGCCTATTAAAAATCTGAAAAAAATCATGTGGACTAATTCGAGGTCGTAATGAAAGAATCCATAGTGGAAATCGGGAAATTCTGGAAGATAGAGGATCAGTGGTCTTCGGAAGTGCTCCTATTGGCAATAAACGCGTATAGCTGGCTTTTCGGTGCCGATATCTCGAAAAGTATTCGTCCTCGACTCGCTCTCGGTCTCATTCGATTCAGCAGCTCATTTTCCTTCAGAAAAGTGATAATTCGCGTGGATTTCCGCCGTTTTCCGGCACTTTCGGCCGTCCGAAGGTGCCTCAGTCGTTTTTTCGTATGGGACGGTTAGGAGGAAAAATAAAAATTTTTATTCGGCCTATTAAAAATCTGAAAAAATTCATGTTGACTAATTCGAGGCCGTAATGAAAGAATCCATGGTGGAAATCAGGAAATTCTGGAAGATAGAGGATCAGTGGCCTTCGGAAGTGCTCCTATTGGCAATAAACGCGTATAGCTGGCTTTCGGTGCCGATATCTCGGAAAGTATTCGTCCTATCGACTCGCTCTCGGTCTCACTCGATTCAGCAGCTCATTTTCCTTCAGAAAAGTAATAATTCGCGTGGATTTCCGCCGTTTTCCGGCACTTTCGGCTGTCCGAAGGTGCCTCGATCGTTTTTTCGTATAGGACTGTTAGGAGGAAAAATTAAATTTTTTATTCGGCCTATTAAAAATCTGAAAAAATTCATATGGACTAATTCGAGGTCGTAATGAAAGAATCCGTGGTGGAAATTGGGAAATTCTGGAAAATAGAGGATTAGTGGCCTTCGGAAGTGCTCCTATTGGCAATAAACGCATATAGCTGACTTTCGGTGCCGATATCTCGAAAAGTATTCGTCCTATCGACTCGCTCTCGGTCTCATTCGATTCAGCAGCTCATTTTCCTTCAGAAAAGTGATAATTCGCGTGGATTTCCGCCGTTTTTAGGCACTTTCGACCGTCCGAAGGTGCCTCGGTCGTTTTTTCGTATGGGACGGTTAGGAGGAAAAATAAAAATTTTTATTCGGCCTATTAAAAATCTGAAAAAATGCATGTGGACTAATTCGAGGTCGTAATGAAAGAATCCGTGGTGGAAATCGGGAAATTCTGGAAGATAGAGGATCAGTGGCCTCCGGAAGTGCTCCTATTGGCAATAAACGCATATAGCTGGCTTTCGGTGCCGATATCTCGAAAAGTATTCGTCCTATCGACTCGCTCTCGGTCTCATTCGATTCAGCAGCTCATTTTCCTTCAGAAAAGTGATAATTCGCGTGGATTTCCGCCGTTTTTAGGCACTTTCGACCGTCCGAAGGTGCCTCAGTCGTTTTTTCGTATGGGACTGTTAGGAGGAAAAATACAAATTTTTATTCGGCCTATTAAAAATCTGAAAAAATTCATGTGGACTAATTCGAGGTCGTAATGAAAGAATCCATGGTGGAAATCGGGAAATTCTGGAAGATAGAGGATAAGTGGTCTTCGGAAGTGCTCCTATTGGCAATAAACGCGTATAGCTGGCTTTCGGTGCCGATATCTCGAAAGGTATTCGTCCTATCGACTCGCTCTCGGTCTCATTCGATTCAGCAGCTCATTTTCCTTCAGAAAAGTGATAATTCGCGTGGATTTCCGCCGTTTTCCGGCACTTTCGGCCGTCCGAAGGTGCCTCAGTCGTTTTTTCGTATGGGACTGTTAGGAGGAAAAATAAAAATTTTTATTCGGCCTATTAAAAATCTGAAAAAAATCATGTGGACTAATTCGAGGTCGTAATGAAAGAATCCATGGTGGAAATCGGGAAATTCTGGAAGATAGAGGATCAGTGGCCTTCGGAAGTGCTCCTATTGGCAATAAACGCGTATAGCTGGCTTTCAGTGCCGATATCTCGAAAAGTATTCGTCCTATCGACTCGCTCTCGGTCTCATTCGATTCAGCAGCTCATTTTCCTTCAGAAAAGTGATAATTCGCGTGGATTTCCGCCGTTTTCCGGCACTTTCGGCCGTCCGAAGGTGCCTCGGTCGTTTTTTCGTATGGGACGGTTAGGAGGAAAAATAAAAATTTTTATTCGGCCTATTAAAAATCTGAAAAAATTCATGTAGACCAATTCGAGGTCGTAATGAAAGAATCCATGGTGGAAATCGGGAAATTCTGGAAGATAGAGGATCAGTGGCCTTCGGAAGTGCTCCTATTGGCAATAAACGCGTATAGCTGGCTTTCGGTGCCGATATCTCGGAAAGTATTCGTCCTATCGACTCGCTCTCGGTCTCATTCGATTCAGCAGCTCATTTTCCTTCAGAGAAGTGATAATTCGCGTGGATTTCCGCCGTTTTCCGGCACTTTCGGCCGTCCGAAGGTGCCTCGGTCGTTTTTTCGTATAGGACTGTTAGGAGGAAAAATAAAAATTTTTATTCGGCCTATTAAAAATCTGAAAAAATTCATGTGGGCTAATTCGAGGTCGTAATGAAAGAATCCATGGTGGAAATCGGGAAATTCTGGAAGATAGAGGATCAGTGGCCTTCGGAAGTGCTCCTATTGGCAATAAACGCGTATAGCTGGCTTTCGGTGCCGATATCTCGAAAAGTATTCGTCGTATCGACTCGCTCTCGGTCTCATTCGATTCAGCAGCTCATTTTCCCCAGAGAAGTGATAATTCGCGTGGATTTCCGCCGTTTTCCCGGCACTTTCGGCCGTCCGAAGGTGCCTCAGTCGTTTTTTTCGTATGGGACGGTTAGGAGGAAAAATAAAAATTTTTATTCGGCCTATTAAAAATCTGAAAAAATTCATGTTGACTAATTCGAGGTCGTAATGAAAGAATCCATGGTGGAAATCGGGAAATTCTGGAAGATAGAGGATCAGTGGCCTTCGGAAGTGCTCCTATTGGCAATAAACGCGTATAGCTGGCTTTCGGTGCCGATATCTCGGAAAGTATTCGTCCTATCGACTCGCTCTCGGTCTCCCTCGATTCAGCAGCTCATTTTCCTTCAGAAAAGTGATAATTCGCGTGGATTTCCGCCGTTTTCCGGCACTTTCGGCTGTCCGAAGGTGCCTCGGTCGTTTTTTCGTATAGGACTGTTAGGAGGAAAAATAAAATTTTTTATTAGGCCTATTAAAAATCTGAAAAAATTAATGTGGACTAATTCGAGGTCGTAATGAAAGAATCCGTGGTGGAAATCGGGAAATTCTGGAAGATAGAGGATCAGTGGCCTCCGAAGTGCTCCTATTGGCAATAAACGCATATAGCTGGCTTTCGGTGCCGATATCTCGAAAAGTATTCGTCCTATCGACTCGCTCTCGGTCTCACTCGATTCAGCAGCTCATTTTCCTTCAGAAAAGTGATAATTCGCGTGGATTTCCGCCGTTTTCCGGCACTTTCGGCTGTCCGAAGGTGCCTCGGTCGTTTTTTCGTATAGGACTGTTAGGAGGAAAAATAAAATTTTTTATTAGGCCTATTAAAAATCTGAAAAAATTAATGTGGACTAATTCGAGGTCGTAATGAAAGAATCCGTGGTGGAAATCGGGAAATTCTGGAAGATAGAGGATCAGTGGCCTCCGGAAGTGCTCCTATTGGCAATAAACGCATATAGCTGGCTTTCGGTGCCGATATCTCGAAAAGTATTCGTCCTATCGACTCGCTCTCGGTCTCACTCGATTCAGCAGCTCATTTTCCTTCAGAAAAGTGATAATTCGCGTGGATTTCCGCCGTTTTCCGGCACTTTCGGCTGTCCGAAGGTGCCTCGGTCGTTTTTTCGTATAGGACTGTTAGGAGGAAAAATTAAATTTTTTATTCGGCCTATTAAAAATCTGAAAAAATTCATATGGACTAATTCGAGGTCGTAATGAAAGAATCCGTGGTGGAAATCGGGAAATTCTGGAAGATAGAGGATTAGTGGCCTTCGGAAGTGCTCCTATTGGCAATTAACGCATATAGCTGGCTTTCGGTGCCGATATCTCGAAAAGTATTCGTCCTATCGACTCGCTCTCGGTCTCATTCGATTCAGCAGCTCAGTTTCCTTCAGAAAAGTGATAATTCGCGTGGATTTCCGCCGTTTTTAGGCACTTTCGACCGTCCGAAGGTGCCTCGGTCGTTTTTTCGTATGGGACGGTTAGGAGGAAAAATAAAAATTTTTATTCGGCCTATTAAAAATCTGAAAAAATGCATGTGGACTAATTCGAGGTCGTAATGAAAGAATCCGTGGTGGAAATCGGGAAATTCTGGAAGATAGAGGATCAGTGGCCTCCGGAAGTGCTCCTATTGGCAATAAACGCATATAGCTGGCTTTCGGTGCCGATATCTCGAAAAGTATTCGTCGTATCGACTCGCTCTCGGTCTCATTCGATTCAGCAGCTCATTTTCCTTCAGAAAAGTGATAATTCGCGTGGATTTCCGCCGTTTTTAGGCACTTTCGACCGTCCGAAGGTGCCTCGGTCGTTTTTTCGTATGGGACGGTTAGGAGGAAAAATAAAAATTTTTATTCGGCCTATTAAAAATCTGAAAAAATTCATGTGGACTAATTCGAGGTCGTAATGAAAGAATCCATGGTGGAAATCGGGAAATTCTGGAAGATAGAGGATCAGTGGTCTTCGGAAGTGCTCCTATTGGCAATAAACGCGTATAGCTGGCTTTCGGTGCCGATATCTCGAAAAGTATTCGTCCTATCGACTCGCTCTCGGTCTCATTCGATTCAGCAGCTCATTTTCCTTCAGAAAAGTGATAATTCGCGTGGATTTCCGCCGTTTTCCGGCACTTTCGGCCGTCCGAAGGTGCCTCAGTCGTTTTTTCGTATGGGACTGTTAGGAGGAAAAAATAAAAATTTTTATTCGGCCTATTAAAAATCTGAAAAAAATCATGTGGACTAATTCGAGGTCGTAATGAAAGAATCCATGGTGGAAATCGGGAAATTCTGGAAGATAGAGGATCAGTGGCCTTCGGAAGTGCTCCTATTGGCAATAAACGCGTATAGCTGGCTTTCAGTGCCGATATCTCGAAAAGTATTCGTCCTATCGACTCGCTCTCGGTCACATTCGATTCAGCAGCTCATTTTCCTTCAAAAAAGTGATAATTCGCGTGGATTTCCGCCGTTTTCCGGCACTTTCGGCCGTCCGAAGGTGCCTCGGTCGTTTTTTCGTATGGGACGGTTAGGAGGAAAAATAAAAATTTTTATTCGGCCTATTAAAAATCTGAAAAAATTCATGTTGACTAATTCGAGGTCGTAATGAAAGAATCCATGGTGGAAATCGGGAATTCTGGAAGATAGAGGATCAGTGGCCTTCGGAAGTGCTCCTATTGGCAATAAACGCGTATAGCTGGCTTTCGGTGCCGATATCTCGGAAAGTATTCGTCCTATCGACTCGCTCTCGGTCTCATTCGATTCAGCAGCTCATTTTCCTTCAGAGAAGTGATAATTCGCGTGGATTTCCGCCGTTTTCCGGCACTTTCGGCCGTCCGAGGTGCCTCGGTCGTTTTTTCGTATAGGGACTGTTAGGAGGAAAAATAAAAATTTTTATTCGGCCTATTAAAAATCTGAAAAAATTCATGTGGGCTAATTCGAGGTCGTAATGAAAGAATCCATGGTGGAAATCGGGAAATTCTGGAAGATAGAGGATCAGTGGCCTTCGGAAGTGCTCCTATTGGCAATAAACGCGTATAGCTGGCTTTCGGTGCCGATATCTCGGAAAGTATTCGTCCTATCGACTCGCTCTCGGTCTCATTCGATTCAGCAGCTCATTTTCCTTCAGAGAAGTGATAATTCGCGTGGATTTCCGCCGTTTTCCGGCACTTTCGGCCGTCCGAAGGTGCCTCGGTCGTTTTTTCGTATAGGACTGTTAGGAGGAAAAATACAAATTTTTATTCGGCCTATTAAAAATCTGAAAAAATTCATGTGGGCTAATTCGAGGTCGTAATGAAAGAATCCATGGTGGAAATCGGGAAATTCTGGAAGATAGAGGATCAGTGGCCTTCGGAAGTGCTCCTATTGGCAATAAACGCGTATAGCTGGCTTTCGGTGCCGATATCTCGAAAAGTATTCGTCGTATCGACTCGCTCTCGGTCTCATTCGATTCAGCAGCTCATTTTCCTTCAGAGAAGTGATAATTCGCGTGGATTTCCGCCGTTTTCCGGCACTTTCGGCCGTCCGAAGGTGCCTCAGTCGTTTTTTCGTATGGGACGGTTAGGAGGAAAAATAAAAATTTTTATTCGGCCTATTAAAAATCTGAAAAATTCATGTTGACTAATTCGAGGTCGTAATGAAAGAATCCATGGTGGAAATCGGGAAATTCTGGAAGATAGAGGATCAGTGGCCTTCGGAAGTGCTCCTATTGGCAATAAACGCGTATAGCTGGCTTTCGGTGCCGATATCTCGGAAAGTATTCGTCCTATCGACTCGCTCTCGGTCTCCCTCGATTCAGCAGCTCATTTTCCTTCAGAAAAGTGATAATTCGCGTGGATTTCCGCCGTTTCCGGCACTTTCGGCTGTCCGAAGGTGCCTCGGTCGTTTTTTCGTATAGGACTGTTAGGAGGAAAAATTAAATTTTTTATTCGGCCTATTAAAAATCTGAAAAAATTCATATGGACTAATTCGAGGTCGTAATGAAAGAATCCGTGGTGGAAATCGGGAAATTCTGGAAGATAGAGGATTAGTGGCCTTCGGAAGTGCTCCTATTGGCAATAAACGCATATAGCTGGCTTTCGGTGCCGATATCTCGAAAAGTATTCGTCCTATCGACTCGCTCTCGGTCTCATTCGATTCAGCAGCTCAGTTTCCTTCAGAAAAGTGATAATTCGCGTGGATTTCCGCCGTTTTTAGGCACTTTCGACCGTCCGAAGGTGCCTCGGTCGTTTTTTCGTATGGGACGGTTAGGAGGAAAAATAAAAATTTTTATTCGGCCTATTAAAAATCTGAAAAAATTCATGTTGACTAATTCGAGGTCGTAATGAAAGAATCCATGGTGGAAATCGGGAAATTCTGGAAGATAGAGGATCAGTGGCCTTCGGAAGTGCTCCTATTGGCAATAAACGCGTATAGCTGGCTTTCGGTGCCGATATCTCGGAAAGTATTCGTCCTATCGACTCGCTCTCGGTCTCATTCGATTCAGCAGCTCATTTTCCTTCAGAGAAGTGATAATTCGCGTGGATTTCCGCCGTTTTCCGGCACTTTCGGCCGTCCGAAGGTGCCTCGGTCGTTTTTTCGTATAGGACTGTTAGGAGGAAAAATAAAAATTTTTATTCGGCCTATTAAAAATCTGAAAAAATTCATGTGGGCTAATTCGAGGTCGTAATGAAAGAATCCATGGTGGAAATCGGGAAATTCTGGAAGATAGAGGATCAGTGGCCTTCGGAAGTGCTCCTATTGGCAATAAACGCGTATAGCTGGCTTTCGGTGCCGATATCTCGGAAAGTATTCGTCCTATCGACTCGCTCGCGGTCTCATTCGATTCAGCAGCTCATTTTCCTTCAGAGAAGTGATAATTCGCGTGGATTTCCGCCGTTTTCCGGCACTTTCGGCCGTCCGAAGGTGCCTCGGTCGTTTTTTCGTATAGGACTGTTAGGAGGAAAAATAAAAAATTTTATTCGGCCTATTAAAAATCTGAAAAAATTCATGTGGGCTAATTCGAGGTCGTAATGAAAGAATCCATGGTGGAAATCGGGAAATTCTGGAAGATAGAGGATCAGTGGCCTTCGGAAGTGCTCCTATTGGCAATAAACGCGTATAGCTGGCTTTCGGTGCCGATATCTCGAAAAGTATTCGTCGTATCGACTCGCTCTCGGTCTCATTCGATTCAGCAGCTCATTTTCCTTCAGAGAAGTGATAATTCGCGTGGATTTCCGCCGTTTTCCGGCACTTTCGGCCGTCCGAAGGTGCCTCAGTCGTTTTTTCGTATGGGACGGTTAGGAGGAAAAATAAAAATTTTTATTCGGCCTATTAAAAATCTGAAAAAATTCATGTTGACTAATTCGAGGTCGTAATGAAAGAATCCATGGTGGAAATCGGGAAATTCTGGAAGATAGAGGATCAGTGGCCTTCGGAAGTGCTCCTATTGGCAATAAACGCGTATAGCTGGCTTTCGGTGCCGATATCTCGGAAAGTATTCGTCCTATCGACTCGCTCTCGGTCTCCCTCGATTCAGCAGCTCATTTTCCTTCAGAAAAGTGATAATTCGCGTGGATTTCCGCCGTTTTCCGGCACTTTCGGCTGTCCGAAGGTGCCTCGGTCGTTTTTTCGTATAGGACTGTTAGGAGGAAAAATAAAATTTTTTATTAGGCCTATTAAAAATCTGAAAAAATTAATGTGGACTAATTCGAGGTCGTAATGAAAGAATCCGTGGTGGAAATCGGGAAATTCTGGAAGATAGAGGATCAGTGGCCTCCGGAAGTGCTCCTATTGACAATAAACGCATATAGCTGGCTTTCGGTGCCGATATCTCGAAAAGTATTCGTCCTATCGACTCGCTCTCGGTCTCACTCGATTCAGCAGCTCATTTTCCTTCAGAAAAGTGATAATTCGCGTGGATTTCCGCCGTTTTCCGGCACTTTCGGCTGTCCGAAGGTGCCTCGGTCGTTTTTTCGTATAGGACTGTTAGGAGGAAAAATTAAATTTTTTATTCGGCCTATTAAAAATCTGAAAAAATTCATATGGACTAATTCGAGGTCGTAATGAAAGAATCCGTGGTGGAAATCGGGAAATTCTGGAAGATAGAGGATCAGTGGTCTTCGGAAGTGCTCCTATTGGCAATAAACGCGTATAGCTGGCTTTCGGTGCCGATATCTCGAAAAGTATTCGTCCTATCGACTCGCTCTCGGTCTCATTCGATTCAGCAGCTCATTTTCCTTCAGAAAAGTGATAATTCGCGTGGATTTCCGCCGTTTTCCGGCACTTTCGGCCGTCCGAAGGTGCCTCAGTCGTTTTTTCGTATGGGACTGTTAGGAGGAAAAATAAAAATTTTTATTCGGCCTATTAAAAATCTGAAAAAAATCATGTGGACTAATTCGAGGTCGTAATGAAAGAATCCATGGTGGAAATCGGGAAATTCTGGAAGATAGAGGATCAGTGGCCTTCGGAAGTGCTCCTATTGGCAATAAACGCGTATAGCTGGCTTTCAGTGCCGATATCTCGAAAAGTATTCGTCCTATCGACTCGCTCTCGGTCTCATTCGATTCAGCAGCTCATTTTCCTTCAAAAAAGTGATAATTCGCGTGGATTTCCGCCGTTTTCCGGCACTTTCGGCCGTCCGAAGGTGCCTCGGTCGTTTTTTCGTATGGGACGGTTAGGAGGAAAAATAAAAATTTTTATTCGGCCTATTAAAAATCTGAAAAAATTCATGTTGACTAATTCGAGGTCGTAATGAAAGAATCCATGGTGGAAATCGGGAAATTCTGGAAGATAGAGGATCAGTGGCCTTCGGAAGTGCTCCTATTGGCAATAAACGCGTATAGCTGGCTTTCGGTGCCGATATCTCGGAAAGTATTCGTCCTATCGACTCGCTCTCGGTCTCATTCGATTCAGCAGCTCATTTTCCTTCAGAGAAGTGATAATTCGCGTGGATTTCCGCCGTTTTCCGGCACTTTCGGCCGTCCGAAGGTGCCTCGGTCGTTTTTTCGTATAGGACTGTTAGGAGGAAAAATAAAAATTTTTATTCGGCCTATTAAAAATCTGAAAAAATTCATGTGGGCTAATTCGAGGTCGTAATGAAAGAATCCATGGTGGAAATCGGGAAATTCTGGAAGATAGAGGATCAGTGGCCTTCGGAAGTGCTCCTATTGGCAATAAACGCGTATAGCTGGCTTTCGGTGCCGATATCTCGGAAAGTATTCGTCCTATCGACTCGCTCTCGGTCTCATTCGATTCAGCAGCTCATTTTCCTTCAGAGAAGTGATAATTCGCGTGGATTTCCGCCGTTTTCCGGCACTTTCGGCCGTCCGAAGGTGCCTCGGTCGTTTTTTCGTATAGGACTGTTAGGAGGAAAAATACAAATTTTTATTCGGCCTATTAAAAATCTGAAAAAATTCATGTGGGCTAATTCGAGGTCGTAATGAAAGAATCCATGGTGGAAATCGGGAAATTCTGGAAGATAGAGGATCAGTGGCCTTCGGAAGTGCTCCTATTGGCAATAAACGCGTATAGCTGGCTTTCGGTGCCGATATCTCGAAAAGTATTCGTCGTATCGACTCGCTCTCGGTCTCATTCGATTCAGCAGCTCATTTTCCTTCAGAGAAGTGATAATTCGCGTGGATTTCCGCCGTTTTCCGGCACTTTCGGCCGTCCGAAGGTGCCTCAGTCGTTTTTTCGTATGGGACGGTTAGGAGGAAAAATAAAAATTTTTATTCGGCCTATTAAAAATCTGAAAAAATTCATGTTGACTAATTCGAGGTCGTAATGAAAGAATCCATGGTGGAAATCGGGAAATTCTGGAAGATAGAGGATCAGTGGCCTTCGGAAGTGCTCCTATTGGCAGTAAACGCGTATAGCTGGCTTTCGGTGCCGATATCTCGGAAAGTATTCGTCCTATCGACTCGCTCTCGGTCTCACTCGATTCAGCAGCTCATTTTCCTTCAGAGAAGTGATAATTCGCGTGGATTTCCGCCGTTTTCCGGCACTTTCGGCCGTCCGAAGGTGCCTCGGTCGTTTTTTCGTATAGGACTGTTAGGAGGAAAAATACAAATTTTTATTCGGCCTATTAAAAATCTGAAAAAATTCATGTGGGCTAATTCGAGGTCGTAATGAAAGAATCCATGGTGGAAATCGGGAAATTCTGGAAGATAGAGGATCAGTGGCCTTCGGAAGTGCTCCTATTGGCAATAAACGCGTATAGCTGGCTTTCGGTGCCGATATCTCGGAAAGTATTCGTCCTATCGACTCGCTCTCGGTCTCATTCGATTCAGCAGCTCATTTTCCTTCAGAGAAGTGATAATTCGCGTGGATTTCCGCCGTTTTCCGGCACTTTCGGCCGTCCGAAGGTGCCTCGGTCGTTTTTTCGTATAGGACTGTTAGGAGGAAAAATAAAAATTTTTATTCGGCCTATTAAAAATCTGAAAAAAATCATGTGGACTAATTCGAGGTCGTAATGAAAGAATCCATGGTGGAAATCGGGAAATTCTGGAAGATAGAGGATCAGTGGCCTTCGGAAGTGCTCCTATTGGCAATAAACGCGTATAGCTGGCTTTCAGTGCCGATATCTCGAAAAGTATTCGTCCTATCGACTCGCTCTCGGTCTCATTCGATTCAGCAGCTCATTTTCCTTCAGAAAAGTGATAATTCGCGTGGATTTTCGCCGTTTTCCGGCACTTTCGGCCGTCCGAAGGTGCCTCGGTCGTTTTTTCGTATGGGACGGTTAGGAGGAAAAATAAAAATTTTTATTCGGCCTATTAAAAATCTGAAAAAATTCATGTTGACTAATTCGAGGTCGTAATGAAAGAATCCATGGTGGAAATCGGGAAATTCTGGAAGATAGAGGATCAGTGGCCTTCGGAAGTGCTCCTATTGGCAATAAACGCGTATAGCTGGCTTTCGGTGCCGATATCTCGGAAAGTATTCGTCCTATCGACTCGCTCTCGGTCTCATTCGATTCAGCAGCTCATTTTCCTTCAGAGAAGTGATAATTCGCGTGGATTTCCGCCGTTTTCCGGCACTTTCGGCCGTCCGAAGGTGCCTCGGTCGTTTTTTCGTATAGGACTGTTAGGAGGAAAAATAAAAATTTTTATTCGGCCTATTAAAAATCTGAAAAAATTCATGTGGGCTAATTCGAGGTCGTAATGAAAGAATCCATGGTGGAAATCGGGAAATTCTGGAAGATAGAGGATCAGTGGCCTTCGGAAGTGCTCCTATTGGCAATAAACGCGTATAGCTGGCTTTCGGTGCCGATATCTCGGAAAGTATTCGTCCTATCGACTCGCTCTCGGTCTCATTCGATTCAGCAGCTCATTTTCCTTCAGAGAAGTGATAATTCGCGTGGATTTCCGCCGTTTTCCGGCACTTTCGGCCGTCCGAAGGTGCCTCGGTCGTTTTTTCGTATAGGACTGTTAGGAGGAAAAATAAAAATTTTTATTCGGCCTATTAAAAATCTGAAAAAATTCATGTGGGCTAATTCGAGGTCGTAATGAAAGAATCCATGGTGGAAATCGGGAAATTCTGGAAGATAGAGGATCAGTGGCCTTCGGAAGTGCTCCTATTGGCAATAAACGCGTATAGCTGGCTTTCGGTGCCGATATCTCGGAAAGTATTCGTCCTATCGACTCGCTCTCGGTCTCATTCGATTCAGCAGCTCATTTTCCTTCAGAGAAGTGATAATTCGCGTGGATTTCCGCCGTTTTCCGGCACTTTCGGCCGTCCGAAGGTGCCTCAGTCGTTTTTTCGTATGGGACGGTTAGGAGGAAAAATAAAAATTTTTATTCGGCCTATTAAAAATCTGAAAAAATTCATGTTGACTAATTCGAGGTCGTAATGAAAGAATCCATGGTGGAAATCGGGAAATTCTGGAAGATAGAGGATCAGTGGCCTTCGGAAGTGCTCCTATTGGCAATAAACGCGTATAGCTGGCTTTCGGTGCCGATATCTCGGAAAGTATTCGTCCTATCGACTCGCTCTCGGTCTCATTCGATTCAGCAGCTCATTTTCCTTCAGAGAAGTGATAATTCGCGTGGATTTCCGCCGTTTTCCGGCACTTTCGGCCGTCCGAAGGTGCCTCGGTCGTTTTTTCGTATAGGACTGTTAGGAGGAAAAATAAAAAATTTTATTCGGCCTATTAAAAATCTGAAAAAATTCATGTGGGCTAATTCGAGGTCGTAATGAAAGAATCCATGGTGGAAATCGGGAAATTCTGGAAGATAGAGGATCAGTGGCCTTCGGAAGTGCTCCTATTGGCAATAAACGCGTATAGCTGGCTTTCGGTGCCGATATCTCGAAAAGTATTCGTCGTATCGACTCGCTCTCGGTCTCATTCGATTCAGCAGCTCATTTCCCTTCAGAGAAGTGATAATTCGCGTGGATTTCCGCCGTTTTCCGGCACTTTCGGCCGTCCGAAGGTGCCTCGGTCGTTTTTTCGTATGGGACGGTTAGGAGGAAAAATAAAAATTTTTATTCGGCCTATTAAAAATCTGAAAAAATTCATGTGGACTAATTCGAGGTCGTAATGAAAGAATCCATGGTGGAAATCGGGAAATTCTGGAAGATTGAGGATCAGTGGCCTTCGGAAGTGCTCCTATTGGCAATAAACTCATATAGCTGGCTTTCGGTGCCGATATCTCGAAAAGTATTCGTCCTATCGACTCGCTCTCGGTCTCATTTTCAGCAGCTCATTTTCCTTCAGAAAAGTGATAATTCGCGTGGATTTCCGCCGTTTTCCGGCACTTTCGGCCGTCCGAAGGTATTTCAGGAAGAATGCAAATATAGATTTCTCAGTATTTTGGAGGAATTTATCATTGGATTGCAGGACTTCATCAGTAAATGCCTCCCCAGACTGATAAATAAAACGAATATCATATAAAAGGCATGATACCAATCGAAGTTTTTTGAGGATACTCCAGGAACAATGCAAACTATCCCAGATGTCTCAAAATCTCAGAACCAGTATTTGCAAGAGCTTCCTGTTTGTGTTTGTGGGACCCTCTTTTTCGGAATTCCATTGAAATAACTACATTAAAATGCTCTAATCCTAGTTGTATTGCATCATTCTGGAGATATGTGTTGATTCAATTCTTATTCTGAAATAACTTTGGGATCGACTAATTTTAGTATCTAAATCTTTTTGTTCAAGAATTTTACCTCTCTATGTCTTCATCTCCTATTTGTTTCCTGAAATCCTCAATATTTTGTATTGAAATTTTGAGTATTTCAGCTTTCACTTCAAATAGTGTATACAGTAGATATTGATACAGTATAGATACGATTTGTTTCCTAAAATCCTCAATATTTTGTATTGAATTTTTGAGTATTTCAGCTTCAAATTTTTGATTATCAACCCTCTTTCATTGAAATGAATTTCATTCTCGACTACAGCTTGATACACTTTGGTATCAAATCGGTCGGTTTTTCGAGACGTTTTTCCTAATCAAATATTGTATATTCAGAGAAAATTAAAAAATCTACCTTGTATAGTATTTTTAGTTTGAAACTACATCTCATTATATTTACCAATTCGTACCCACCGTTGGAACTGATGTCTTGTCAGGTTCATGTATTGTCAGCACTCAACCTTTTTATGTTGAAAAGAAGAAGATTCATTCATATGTCAAAAGTTCATAGTACCTACATTCTTCTCCTTGAAACAAATCATCTGAGTTGTTCTTAGTACAAATGTATTGAAATCTTACCAAATTTTTTTATAGACACGAGGAGAAAATACAAAAAAAAATTACAGGAATGAAGACAATGAAGTTGATATCATGATTTCAATCACTCACCATTTCAACGGCCTTAGGATTTCCAGACAAATAACACCGCCGATCTCCAGGACCTTCATCTCTAGCCTGCTGGAACTGGACTTTGGCACCAGTTTCTGCCTGAATTTTCTTTATCATATCCCCCCCTTTACCTATCACCACACCGACAGCCGGTCTAGGAACCAAAACCTGAAAAAAAAAATAGCCAATGGAACAGTGAGCTATAGCGGACATGTACGCCTATCCGAAATTCACACTGAAGTTACAGTTTACTGCTATAGCAGAGAGCGACCGTAACCTCACTGCTATAGCAGGGGCAACCTTTTTTTTTTTCTTTTTTTTATTTATTTATTTTCAGTTATTGCATTACATTCTTTTCTTCACTGATACATTTCATACAAATAATATATAAAGTATAATTAATTTTCTAGTAGGAATGACATGAATGATCAGACATTAATTCCTGGTATAAGATCATTCATGAAGTATTATCGACTGTTGTATAATTGAAATTACAAATAGTGAACAAAACTTACATATCATTAAGATACAGTCATATTATAGTGAACGAGAAGGGGAAAAATAAAAACAGTGAAAAAAGAAAAAAGAAAAAGGAAATTCATGGTCTTTCATCTTTGATCATTCCTTTGCATATAAATATATTTCTCAACTTTATTTTTGAATTGCATAATATTTGGGCTGTTTTTGATATCATCTGGTAATTTATTGAATTTCGAAATCGCCTCATGTGTAAACTTTTTTTGCCCAAGTTTAGAATTTGCAGCTTCAAGATGAAACAAGTTATATTGTCTAGTGTGATGATCATGAATTTCGGAATTCCTGATTAATATAAAATTTGATTTAAGCTTTTTGTTGATGATATAATAGGAAATTTTGAGAGTATTGATTAAAAAGTGCTCTTCCAAAGAAAATGTGTTTGTTTCCTTATACAGTTGATTCGTTGGAGTGTCATATGGAAGACGATACAATACTTTCAATGCCTTTTTATATAGAACAGAAATTTTGTTGAAACTATTTTTGGAACAAGATCCCCAAATATTTATGAGATAGTTAATTCGACTGAGTATATGTGAATAGAGAATAATATTCGATGTATATGTACTAAGTTTAGGACATCTTCTCAAAGCACCAATAATGGGAGATACTTTTCCTATGAGGATGTCAATATGCTTTCTTCATGTTAATTTCTCATCAATCCAAATACCACTATATCAGTTGCTGTCCATTAATAAAAACCGGCAGCCCACAACACGTTTTTTGTGTCTCATTTACTGATAAAAACCCCCCAAATACCACCTTCCATTACAGGTCGCCGAATAAAAATAGGGTCTACAATGCCCCATGGTACTGTAATTGCCGAACGTGTAGAGTGGATACGATGAATAGTGGCGGTGTATATTCTTGCCAACAATTTTTCAATTGTTATTTCGGTGTTTTGTGAACAAATTCCAAAATAATCGTAATTTAAAATTATTTACCGCCCTTCCCAATGAACTGAAAAACATCTCTAGCTATGAGAATTTCAAGAGAAAATGTAAAGAAGTCTTGATGTCTGGCACTTTCTACACAGTAAATGAGTTTTTGACAAGGAATAGCCTCTAGTCAATGTACAGATAATTTTATATTGCATATTTTATTTAACCCTCATTTATTTGACTCACTGTTCTTCTTAATGTACTACAGTGGCGGCTCGTGACTTTCATGACAGAGGAGGCTGAATGATATGAGATTTATTGTGAAAAACAACTCTCTACTCACCCAAATCAATAGCTTTAATGACATTCTGTTAACCAGTTAACCTGAACTTAATACTTGAAGAGATGTGTTCCTGTGATTTGCAGTGTCCATCCAATCCGCGAGGCAAATTTTTCAAATCATTATATCCTAATCGCCCTCAACATGATGACTTATCGGTTGATATCAGATATCAGATCCCGTCAACCAGATATATTTTTTATAATTATCAGAATTGAACGAACGATTTTGTTTGTTACCTGTTACAATCAGATTTTTTAATTCCGGTGTCGGACGTTTGTTTTTCACAATCGATTTATCTTCATAAGACAAAGCACTGAATGGATTCACCAAAAAGTATTCCACTGAATCGCAATCGTTTAAAACACTCATTTTTCAGAAATTTATAGAGCCCCTAACCATTAACCTAACATAAACAATGCACTCGCGTTTGTCCGCAATTCGCGAAGCGACACGACAAACACGTGCTATTCGGGCGTATTGGAAATTTGCATTGCGCGCGTAGGTTGCGCATTGTGAAGGAGTCTAGCCTCCTATAGATGTTGCCAAGTTGAATATTTTACGCGTGATTTGCATACTTCAACGTGTAATGCGTGGGCAAGCACTGTTGCCAATTCAAAAATATTCAACTAAAAACAGGAAATAAAATCGAAATCCATGTATTTTGGTGTCCTTTTAATGAGAAAGTATAGATAATATTAGTTTGAGGAAAATCTCTGAGGAGGCTCAGCCTCCGTTGCCTCCTCTGAGGAGCCGCCACTGATGTACTATAATTACTGTATTGTATTGTTTCAATATTTTATGTATGTATTTGAGGATGTTTTAATCCAATTTATTTCAATTTTACACTATGTATGAACAACTTGACTTGTCCAACACACTCATAATTGTGGTTATTTATGGATCAATAAAGTTTTTTTTTTATTTATTTATTGAACAAATAACTTCCAGACAGAATAGGCTCTGGTATAAGGAAGTACATAATTATATACCTATAGGTAAACATATCATTATACAAAATATATCAACAACTGTAAATTGACAAACAAAGAATAATATTTGTACAAAACAAATGGCATGTTCAATTTTATCCAGTTCGCTCAGAAATAATCAATTTTTTCACTTCATTTTTGAATGAACCTATATTTCTGCAATTTTTTATATTGTCAGGTAGTTTATTGAATTCAGTTAAGGCTGAATGAGTGAATCTTTTTTGTCCGATAATGGAGCTAGCGGCGTCAAGATGAAACAAGTTATATTGTCTTGTTTCATGATTATGAATTTCAGAATTCCGTATCAACATAAAATTCGACTTCAATTTTTTATTTATGATATTATATGATATTTTGAGAGTTTCAATTCTATATATTTCATCTAAAGAATACGTATTTGTTATTTCAAACAATTGATTGGTTGGTGTATCAAATGGGAGACGATACAATACTTTTAACGATTTTCTATATAATGTTGATATTTTATTGAAATTGTTCTTTGAACAAGTTCCCCAAACATTTATTAAATAGTTGATACGACTCAGTATATGAGAGTAGAGAATCATGTTTGCAATTTTAATATCAAGTTTGGGACATCTTCTCAATGCACCAATAATTGGAGATATTTTTTTTGTCAGAACATCAATATGTTTGTCCCACTTCAACCTGTCATCAAACCAAATACCAAGATATTTTATCTGGTCAGTTTGTTTTAAGAGTTCATTTTTCATTTTAAGGTTGAGGTAAATTTTTTGTTTATTTTTTTGGTGAAAAATCATATATTCTGTTTTGATAAAAGGTTAGAGTGGAGCCATTTTTCAAATATTTTCAAGTCTTCATTCATCATATTTTCTAAATTCGAAGGATTCTTGCCTTCATATAAAAGTACTGTATCATCTGCATACATGTTATATTTACTTGTGAGACCAATTTCACTGATATTTTGAACATAAAGTAAATATAGTTTCTATTCTATTTCTATTCTATTTGAGTGAGATACCAAATTCCACTGGATTATCACATTTATTTTTGAATTGATTCACAAAAAACAGGAAATAAAGAATCAAACTTCGACACTCTGTATCTCAGAAATGAATAACTTGCAGACATATGTTAATACGAACTTTTCTGCTTATTTTGACGTCAGCAACATGCTTCTGAAATGTTTACACCTATATACATCAAACTTAAAACATAAACGAAATACGTGGCAAATGAACCTCTCACTCACCTCCATGGAATCTCCACCCCCACCGAAATCGTTGAATCCATCCATGCCGCCCCTACCGTCGTTTCTACCGCCCCTGCCTCCGCCGCCACCGCGACCAAAGTTCTTCATCTCTTTTTCGGCGATCAGATCGTACACCAACTGCTTGGCAAACTCCACCTAGAAAAGAAGAATGGCTTCGTTTCCTTCATCTGTGTATTGCACAATTTTCAATTGCGCGCCGGAGGTCCATGAATTCACCAAATTTCAGGAAATTTCATGAGATCTCATATTTCATGAGACTCCATTGATTTATGAACCAACTTCAAAAAAGGAGAATGGCATCAGTTTGTATGTGATTTTTCTGAGTTTAATTTTTTAATGACATTTTATGAACATTTCTCAAAATAGGATTATGTAAAGCTCAATTGTATTGTTAAATAGGCAAACCAGTTTTCAAATTTGGTTGTATTGTGCTGTGGGATGTTGTATCTTATAATATTCCTGAGGTTATGCTGGTTATGCAGTTTATGACGTGGAGTTGGATAATCTTCTAAATAATATGTTATATTATAATCTATAATTTTTTTCAATACCTCAAATAGTAGTTGATCGCGATATTCAATTTTCAGGATGTTGTTGCTGTTTTATACAGGGGTTATATGATCATATCTGTAAATGTTGTGTACAAAACGGATACAGGCATTTTGTGAAAGTTGTAATTTGATTTTATATGCTTTTGTTAAAAACTAATAATATAGATACAGTAACCTATTTGTGGACATAATAGACATTGTAATTTTTTGTTCACATGAGGTTCAAAATAGAAGCTGAAATCAAATATCAGTCCTAGATTACTAGGACCTTCTGCAGGTTATTGTATTTTTCTTGAAAATGATGAAAGATCACATTAAAACCCCTGAAGATTTCACAAATGTTTTTAAGATTCCACTTAACTAAAGGAAAGTTCAGGAAATTTCTCATCACCTACCTTTCTGCCGATCATTGTATTAAATCATCATGAAAATTTCATAAGATTTCACAAAATCTCATGAAATTTTACAAGACTACAAAGTTTCTCAAAATCTTCCATGAAACTTCATATTAACTTATGCAGATCATTATATTTCCTTTGAAATGATGATACATCATGAACAACTTTGTATTTCTCATGACTTCACAAAGTTTCTCGAGATTTCACAAAATTTTTCCATTTTTTTTATGACTGAACACTTTGCAGATCATTGTATATTTCTTGAATATGATAATACATCATAAACAAATTTATAATTTCATAAAACTTCATTTCACAAAATTTCATGAAATTCTTCAAATTTCATTATATTTTACAAGGATCTACAAATCAATATAATAGAACTTCGGGAAATAGCATGTTACTTTCTGCAGATCATCTTTTTTAATGATGATACATCATAAAACAATTTATAATTTCATAGAATTTCATAAGATTTCATAAAATTTCTCCAGATTTCTAGATTTGCCTGCATATCATTGAATTATTTCTTCAACATGGTGATAAATTATACACAAAATCATGATTTCATAAAATTATTCAAGATTTTTAAAATCTTTCCCAAGATTTCACCAAAATTCTAAAGCTTTCTAATGAAATTTCATATCATTGACATTTCTCAAAAGTTTTCAAGATTTCACAAAATTTCCCAAGATCTTTCAAAATAATTTTCGAAATTTCTCAACATTTTTCAAAACCCCACGTAACCCTGAAGCTCCACGAAACCCCCTACCGACCTACCTTCTGCGGATCCCCGCTGATCATCAAAGGCTTCTCGTGTTCCTGATTGGGCCCGTCCTGTATGACCACCATCTTGGCGCCGCTCTTCTCCTGCAGCTGCTTGATCGTCTCGCCGCCCTTGCCGATGATCAGCCCCACCTTGGGGCCGGGTATCATGATCTCGAGGGTGTTGCGACCGCCGCCGCCTCCGCCACCGCCACCAGGGCCACCCATGTTCCCTTCAATATCAATATGGACGTTGGTAAAATTACCCTATCAGTCTCCTGTGCCCTCCATCTGAGATAACTGAGCGAGTGATTGAACAGAGGTTACAGGAATTTATCGACGACAACGAGCTAATACGTTACCACCGATACAACAAGGCCTGCATGCTCCGTGGGTGACGTCACTTAGTGAGGCCTAACCAGCGGCTCGAAACGACAAGCGATTATAGCGCTATAAGGCGACCGCGTATTTCGATTTTAGTTTTAGATCATCATTGAGCCGATTTTGCTGTTTTTTGAAGGGCTTCCGGTTAAAAATGCCAGTCGTCAACTGAGCCCTTCTTCGCACCCCATTCGATTTTATTATGGAAAAACGAAGTTTTAAAGCAAAAACCAGGATAAAACACAAATATCCACCTACAGCAACCCATTCGAATTAAATATATTGGCAAAAATTGTGGTGAAGGTGAACTTCACACCTATTTATACAGGGCCCGCAGAACATAAACTTATCGTGAGATTGATCGAAAGAAAACTGTGGAAAATGTATTTTATTTTGATTGACATGCCGTTTGTTACAATTACCTATATTTATCTTGGAGAATTCCTATTACATCATGCGATGGTTTTATTTTTTGAAAATTTTTTTCGGTACTCACGTATTTTTGTCTGATAAACCGAATTTTAAAATGAAAATGTGAACAAACCACTATTTATTGAGATATTTCAAGAAAAAGTTCGAAATTTCACCTTCTTTCTCCCCTTGTGTTGGGGGCATTTTAAGCTACTTGCTCTCATTTTGTCATTGGACACTTTATATACTCATGATGTACTTCGATGGCACATTTTTATATAAAAAATTCAACAGGAAATATGATTTTTATGGCGAGATTTTCATATTTAGTGAACAAGCATTCCAGATGACGATCATTTAATCAATAGTCAATCAAAATACGAGATGTCAAATGTCAATAGATTGCTTTCGAATGACATTACACACGCCATTATTTTGAATGATATTCTTCCTTCTTTTCACTAAATATGGATTAATCTCAAGAAAATCATATTTATAGTTGAATTATATATAAATTGTCCAATATGATGAAAAAAGAAGGGAAATTTGTTCTAAATGCCATCCAGAAGACAGGTGAAAAAGAAGGTGAAATTTGGAACTTTTTGGTCAAATATCTTCATGATAAATATCATGATAAATGCAGTTTTACCTTTTCAAGTAGAGTGTTTGTAGTTCATGTTAATATGATAGTTGCAATTTGATCATTGGGATGAATTCTGCATTCATTGCCACGAGGCAAATGACCGTTTTCAGAAAGAAATTTGAGAATGAGAATTGAAAATGCCCGTTTATTATGAACATTCAAGAAAATTTCCTCGAATTCAGAGATGATTTTGTTGACTATAATATACGAATACAAAACTAACTGCACAATCAAAGCTTCTCTATTTTTCCTCTACTTATACTTTTTATGAGAGAGTAATTGTCTTCTATTACTAATTCATCATTATAAATTAAGCTCTGTTTACTACTGAACTTAGATGGAGTAAAATCCTCGCGGTGAATTGCATATACCCACATTTTCGATAGCTCTTCGTTCAACGCGAAACTAAAAGCATGAACTTTTGAACCACCCACATAATTCCCCTGACAAAAGGGAACACAACACTTGAAAGGCATTGTTATTTCGCCGATCACAACACGAAATATTTCACAAAACAGTAATTTTTCCGCCAATTATTTTGATGAATAAACAACAAAAGAATTCGGGACCGTTTCAAAAACATACGTGAATCACCGATGAATCAACACGAACTGACGCGTTAGTCGACAAGCGATAAAATAAAACACTGGCCTCTCTTGGTGACGTCACGAGCTGTTTACGTCAGTCTGCTGGCCTTGTTGTATCGGTGGTAACGGCTAATACCAGATGAGCAGTTCGGTTTCAGAACTGACCACTCAACTGAACTAAAAGTCTTGAGACTCATTGAGAACACAATATCATTGAGAAATGATAGACAAAAGACCCATCTTGCCCTCCTTGACATAGCGAAAGCATTTGACAAGGTGTGGCATGATGGTATCTTATACAAAATTATCGATATGGGCTTTCCTGACGATTTGCTTCAGTTGATGTGTTCATTTCTGAAAAATCGAACTTTTCAAGTGAAACTTGATGATCAACGATCTGGTATCAAGCCCATTGAAGCTGGTGTTCCTCAGGGTGCAGTTTTACCGCCGCTGTTGTACAGTTTATATACTAGCGACTTGCCGAGACCAGTGATGTGCAAGATGTCGCTTTTTGCTGATGATACGGCGGTTCTTGCATATTCGACAAATTTCGAGCAAGCAGCTATGAACACCTCCAAAGCGCACTGAATTCTCTTCAGGAGTACTTCCAAAGATGGAAGATCAAATTGAATCCTACAAATACACAATTGGTCGCACTCGGAAGGGTGCGGAGGCCTGCCAGAACCAGAATAGTCCTGGATGGTCATGAGTTAGAGTGGTCTTCACAAGTTAAATACTTAGGTGTGTGTATTGACAAAAAGCTCACCTGGGCCCAGCACATTGAACAGCAAGTTTCAAAAGCTAAACGAGCCATTGGAGGACGAAGTAATTTGGGTTTGAGACAAAAATTGAATATTTATATCATGGCTATCAAGCCAATTTTACTATAATGCCTCAGTAGTCTGGGGCCACACAGCTAAATCTCATATCACCAGATTACAAACATTACAAAACAAATCGCGAGAATGGTGACAGGATCTCCTTGGTATGTTCGGAATAACCAGATCGCCAGGGATCTGAAACTCCCTTCAATCGTGTCAGTCATTAGAGAACGAAAAAGCTGAGGTTCATGAGAATCAGCTTCTTCGAAATGCAGTTGATTATGACCCAGGTGATCAATCAAAGTTCAAAAGACCGAGATTGTCCATAAACTAGAGAAAATATCGACATTATCACCAAATTTACTATATGAAACCATAAACCGAATTTGAATGCATTATATTCAATTATTCTTGAGATATTGCGAAAAAACTATTTCAATTTCTTGACTTCAACGCCCTGTATCTCGAGAACTGAACAATTGGGTATGTTCGGTATAACCAGACCGCCAGGGATCTGAAACTCCCTTCAATCGTGTCAGTCATTAGGGAACGAAAAAGCTGAGGTTCATGAGAATCAGCTTCTTCGAAATGCAGTTGATTATGACCCAGGTGATCAATCAAAGTTCAAAAGACCGAGATTGTCCATAAACTAGAGAAAATATCGACATTATCACCAAATTTACTATATGAAACCATATACCGAATTTGAATGCATTATATTCAATTATTCTTGAGATATTGCGAAAAAACTATTTCAATTTCTTGACTTCAACGCCCTGTATCTCGAGAACTGAACACTTGGGTATGTCCCTATCTCAGTGATTATGAAATCACGAGGGCTATCACCTGTCAAGCGTTGTCGGTCGAATTTCGCAACACCTTGCATATTTTTTAGAATTTTTCGTTTAATTTTAAGGTGCTGAAATCAACATTAGTGCCACGGTACATTTCAAACGGCTAAAAATTTACCGCCAGTGAAAACTGACGTCACAATTTCGTAAGTAGGGATAGACAATAGCACAGTTGCCATGTTGAAATACTGTTAGTACTTCAGAAATATTAGTCATTCAATGATTCATAAATTCTCAATTTTGTATTGGTTATATTCCTAATTAGACATAAAAAATCGATTATCTCAAAATATTCCCTCAACTGTTGTGGCTATTTCCATATAATACGTTTGTGTTAATAATATTATTATTATTATATTGAGTGAATGTGACAACCACGGCAAACGACTTGTGGGCGTGGTCTTGTCGGTTCTCAGCATTCATCACAATGTTGCCAAGTCTCCAACATCCAGATAATATGTTATGGAGAATAAGAGACATTTGGACATGCTGTCAAGAATAAACTTCAATATCATGGCTTCCTCATAAATCTTTTTGATAGATTGATTATAATTGGTGACTTGACAACCCTGCCATCGCCAAGTGGCGACCATGCCGGTACATTGTTTTCTTATTAGGAAATATTTGAATTACACTTTTCAAGTCAACCTATCATACCAAATTTTAATGTAAATATAGTAGACTTCCTAGATTGAAGTATCAACAATAATGTTGAGTCTTAATAAATTAAACATATTAGTACTCAATACTAAATGTTTGTAAAATATTCATCAATACATTAATATTGCAAGGTGTCTGAACAGTATAACAAATGAGTTTTGTAAACTGTAATTCTCCTTGCCAACATTGAGAAAATAATCTGGAATTTGTTCTAAATAATACGACAGAAGGACTTCAGCCGTCAGCAATGTGAACATTGTTGTGTAATAATAGTAGATTGTTTTATTAGGATCAAAAGTGACGCCGAGCGAAAGCAAAATTTGCGAGTCAAAGTCACTTTTGATCCGAATGAAACATGCTATTTTTTCTGCAACCGAAACAATCAACTCAAATAAATATATGAAGTAACCACCAATGCCGTGCCATATTATATATATTATAAAATGTGATATGTGATTACTAAAGTTTAATATTTGTCCGCTTTTTTACCAAGAGTTTTTACTTTAAATTTTAATTTTAATTTTAGATTTAGTATTTTTTTCATCTGATGTCTGACTAGTCCTATACAATTGTGATTGTCTGAGGGATAATAAAATTTATTATTATTATTATTATTATATGTATGCAATGCAACAAATAAATAATCCGTGTGTTGAAAATATTCTACCTGTATCAACAACAGGTTTATTCAATTTTGAAGGATGTTTGAATGTAGTTTCCGAGGGGTGAATCATGGGTCAATTTCGGGTACACTAGACTTCCTTTGTAGAAAGAATTCCCGGAATTCCTGGGACTACCCAAGGAATTCCTGGAATTCCCAAAGAATACCCGGACTTCCCGAGGAATTCCCGTCTCGGGTACACTGGACTTCCCACGTGATTTTCCCCTCGGTAGTTTCAATATAAATACCACAGAGTGACATATTCATGTATGGACCAGGTGCTTCAATGGCAAATACCGCGCCAGTATATGAACAGGACGTGGATAATGCTAGGTTAGTGAGCATATCCACAAAAATAATAGCGATTATCTATTCCTCTTCATACTACATTGTGTTTGACTTGATAATCAAATGGAGGTAAAAAATATCATTGTTTGAGACAAAAAACTATTGCTGGCCGTGATTATTCGAAAACAAGTTTTCCATCCCGAGAATTACATAATACATTGCCAAGAGAGGTGTTCCCCGAGGCATATAACCTCCAGAAATTCAAGAAGAACACCAATTCCTACCTTATTTCCCTTGGTTCTCACGATGTTTTCTGAACATTACAGGATATCCCTTTTGGTGGGAACCATGAAATACAGATCAAGCAAGTATATGAAATGTGAATCTTGAAGGCTTCCCTGATCAAAACAAATATACTCAACTGAGATTTTTATAATTCCTATACTTAACTACACTCACCGGCACAAAATTCCGCCACCCTGAAATTTTGTCCAAGTTTGAAGTTTTATAACTTATTCATTTTTTATCCGATTTCCATGATTTTGTTATCAGTTTGTAGATCCATTTATCATGTTTTTCCTCAATCATTTTATAAAGTATCATTTATCGATTAGGCTATATTATACAGGAGGAAAACAAAATGTTGTTTTTTGTCGTAATTTCAAAACACCCTGTAGGGAAACTGAGATGGATAATTTTGTTTACATACTGTTTCTTGTAATCTCTGATGTATTCTAAACATTTATTTTTTTGATTCATTCCATTATCTCATTTGTGCTGAGAGTTGCAAAATTTTAAATGAAACGCTGATTTGAAGCCTATTTTTATTAAGAAAAAGAAACACCAGGTATATCATGAAGTTAATCAACAAAAACAATTCAATAACGTGTATTTCCTCCTCTCGCAGCAACGACAGCTTGCAGTCTTCGCGGCATCGAATGAATAAGGTCACTTATTCTTTCTTGAGGAATAGCTTCATATTCTTCGGTCAGCGCCAGTCGTAAGTTTTGCAAGGTTTGTGGTTGTACAGGACGTTGACGAACGGCTCTTTTAAGTTGGTCCCAAAGATGTTCGATTGGGTTGAGATCCGGGCTACATGCAGGCCATTCCAATCTTGGAAGTCCAACTTCATCCAGGTATTCGCTCACTACATGTGCAACGTGAGGTCTAGCATTATCATGCATTAATGTGAATTCGTTCCCAATAAAAGGAGCAAATGGAACAACAACTTCTTGGAGGATTTCCTCAATGTAACGGTGGGCGGTTAGGGCTCCATTTTCAATAAATACAAGATTGGTACGTGCTTCGGTAGAAATACCCGCCCAAATCATGACTGAACCGCCATGATATGAGATTCGTTCTGATATGGTGCAGTCAGCATATCTTTCGTTTCTACGTCTGTATACCCGCTCACGACCATCCGGCGACCTTAAACAAACCCTGGATTCATCTGTGAATAGTACGTTTCCCCACTGTTCTAGAGTCCAGTCAGAATGCGATCTTGCAAATCTCAGTCGGTGTTGTCGATGGCGAGGAAGTAATCGTGGACATATTGTTGGCCTTCGTGAATAAAGCCCAGCTTCTGCCAATCTTCTACGTATCGTTCTTTCACTTACGTTTACTCCACGAATAATTTGCAAGTCATTTTTTATACACACAGCAGTAGATCTTCGATCTCTTAAAGAATTAATGGAGACAAAGTGATCATCAGCTGCACTGGTCATTCTCCTTCTGCCAGAGCCTTGCCGTCTAGTAAAAATTCCCGTCTGTAAATACCTACTCCAGGCATTTCGAACTGTTGACCGCGGAATTCTCAGAGTGCGGGCGACATAACTTTTGCTACGGCCATCCTCTATTAACGCAACAATTCTACCCACGTCTGCTGGAGTTAATACCATATTGACACACAACAAATTATAATTTTCTCACTGTCAAACATTCTGCCACAATAATCGCGTCCAAAGCCAACGTCGATAATTTTTAACCGAAATCTTGACATAGGTACATTTTCAAAAAATAACATCGTTTCATTTAAAATTTTGCAGCTCTCAGCACAAATGAGATAATGGAATGAATCAAAAAAATAAATGTTTAGAATACATCAGAGATTACAAGAAACAGTATGTAAACAGAATTATCCACCTCAGTTTCCCTACAGGGTGTTTTGAAATTACGACAAAAAACAACATTTTGATTTCCTCCTGTATAATATAGCCTAATCGAAAAATGATACTTTATAAAATGATTGAAGAAAAACATAATAAATTAATGGATCTACAAACTGATAACAAAATCATGAAAATCGGATGAAAAATAAATAAGTTATAGAACATCAAACTTGGACAAAATTTCAGGGTGGCGGAATTTTGTGCCGGTGAGTGTATCATAGATTAAAAATAATAAGGTGTTTTTATATTTCCAGCATGGGTATGTAATGCCAAATCTGCCGAAATCGGAAACAAATCAGGTATGCGTCTCAACCCAAATAACCAACCGTAACATTGTTGTTTATTTATGACGTCCAGTACTTCCTTTTTAGTTCCTAGGAGCTAAAGTTCAACTTCAGCTCTTGAGAACTAAATATGTTGCCTAGCAACATACCTGTTTTTGTGTCAGTAACAGAAACGTCAATTCAAAAGCTAATTTTGGTATCAAAATGGACGACTTTTGTGTCGGTTGCAGAAAAAGTATTATTATTATTGTTGTTCTTGTATTTAATCATTGTGGTTGACTGTAAAATTAAATTTTCATAAACTCATTCACAAGTCATCGCCAATGGAATATTAACCTGCGAAATGGCCGATGGGCGGCCCCCCCATATCGGGCGGCCCGTCCTCGCCCGCCCCCCGCTGTCTGATGATGTTCGAGATGATCTCTTTGGCCCTGTCGATGGCCTCCCGGCTGCCCGACAGCGTGCAGATGCGGTCCGGCATGCCCATCGAGTCGGGCGCCAATTGGATCTTGCAGCCGGTGTCGGTCTGCAACCGTTGGATCTGCTCCCCGCCACGACCAATTACTGTGGAACGTCAAAGAACCACATCACAAACGCACCCATTTTTTTAATATTTGACAAAGACAAAATAAGCTGGGAAACGATTCTTGAGCGTTACTCCTTCACAAATTCGATATTTTATTCCACTTAAACATAAATAATTGTTAAAGAAACAATACCTCTTATCTCCAAAATAGCAATTATAAAGAGAACTGTATAAAATCGCGAGCTATTTCCTTATTCACTGCACTGATATACCAGGTATTCGTTGAAGTCAATTTGAAGAGTAAAAATTATTCTGCAACATACGAGCTATTGAATACTATTGGAGAAAAATGAACAAATGTAAATCAAGTCTGTGTAATTAATAGATTCTCAGTGAAAATTGAGATACAAGCAATTGTTTCTCAAGCGTCAATGTCACATAATTATGTAGGTGAATCTTTCTTTATTCACATATGAATTGAATTCAAACGATTCGAGGATAGACGGCCAGATCAGAAATGTTCCGCTAATAATAAATTGGGTGATGGGCCTGGAGAGCTCTGGAACTTTTTTAAATAATTATTGAAATTCACGTTATTTCCTAACATGAAAAACGAGGGAAAACGCTTGACGTAATAAAGTTCGACTTACGTATCAATTCTGTATTTCTGATAGACGAGTGCTAGTGCGAGAATATTTCCGAGTCCTTTCAATCAGAATATAGAATGAATTTTCTGGATTGAATACTTACAGAGAACACAACACACAACTAAAGAATCAGATGATATGAGGATTATTTCTGAATATTCGAATCTTGACGAAACGAGGATTTAACCATGAAGTTGACACCCGATATTAACGTCAGGAAGTTTGGTTGACGATGTAGTTTGTCTTCTTCTTTTTATGTGTTCCTGTGATCTTAGGCATTACACTGTTGCCCATGCCATGAACTAATTTGGGATTAAATAAAATCTTGCTCATTATTAGGAATACTAGGATATTTTTATTGGTACTGAAGCATCTTGCAAAAATATAAGGTCGATCTATTGTCTACTGTGAATGTGAATACTATAGTCATCGATCATTGATCATATTGAATCTCATAAGGTACTAACCGGTAAACAAATCTGGCTGCGTCAAAATATGTGGTTCTACTTTTTATGCAAAAGCCAGAATTCGGTTCATGACGTCATGAAACCTGGCGTTTTTCGAAGTCACCGAATTTGATAATAGAAAAAGATATGTATTTGCAAGTATTTATATGAAATAGGTATGTGGTGTAAATTCGACCAGTGTGTACAACCCCATTATGCACTTTTCTTTGCCAAAATGTTTTCTGTTAACCATGTATTTTTCCGAAAAAACGGAAAAACATGAAATTCCAAGAGAAAATGTTGACAAACTACTATTTTATGTTTATTTGTATTTGTTGAATATTTACATAGGTACATATTTTTTCCCATCTTGTAATAATATTTGTGATTATAATGTATGCAATGGATAACCGTAAATAAAGTTCTATTCTATTCTAAGATGTTTCACGAAAAAGTTAGAAATTTCTCCTTTTTCCCCGCTTTTGCACTTACAAGTATTTGCATTTCCATTTTCATCACTATTGAATAATTTGAATACATACAAGTTTTTTTTGTGATTTTTTCATATTCAGTAAACAACCACACCAGCTGACAGCCCATTCAATTATCAACAGTAATTACACAAGTGGTGGTAATTTTTTGATAATTTTAACTAGATGCACGAATCTTTGTTGCTATAGAAATTTCACGAGTGGACGAAGTCCACGAGTGGGATTTCTCAATAGCAACAAAGACGAGTGCTAAATCTAGTTAAAATTATTTAAAAAAATAACCAACACGAATGTAATTCGGCGTGATTATTTTTTTTACTATTTCGCAAAATGCCCCAGAATATGTTTATTAAACAATTATTTATTGAACAATCATTTATCATACAATTATATATCAAACAATTATATATCAAACAATTATATATCAAACAATTATATATCAAATAATTATATATCAAACAATCAAGAATGTTTACAATTTACGTTTGTAATGGTGCAATTATTGTATGTTATTGTACAATTTCCTTGAGATGAAGAGGTCGAAACAGTGTTTCCTCTCAAGTTGTTTATCATGCTTGCGTGATGCTCTTTGTCAAGTTGAAGATAGGGTTTGATGGAGCTTGCAGATGAATGTCCAGTTATCTTCAACAACTGCTGCTCACTTACTCCACTTTTAGCGAGTTGTGTCACAGCAGAAGAACGATGTGAATGGTTTGTAACCTTGATTTTGCTAGGATCCAAGCCAATCTTTCGGGCCGCTTGTTTTGTCCATTTTGCTATTTCATTTTGTCCTACCGGAAGATTTTTGTACCACCCCTTAGACAAAGGTTGCTGCCAATTTGGATTAGGTGTTAAAAATAAACGATCAATTTGAATATTTGCACTTCTTTTCGACATTAACTTCCGAAAGAGACGTACTGGACATTTTTCAGTCTCATTTTCATTTGGCGTTAAAAATTTGCTATCAGATAACCTGTGCGATCCTCCTTGTGCTGTTTTAGAAATTATTGGATTATATTCTATCCTTCCAGTTTGATTTCCATAATGATCCATTTCTTCTCTAAAATACTGTACTAATGCTTTTGTCGCTTCTCCGCCTCTCCAAGCCAATTCGTAGCTAGCAGTATGATAAAACTTCCTTTGTAAGCCATTTGGAGTATTTTCGTCCCATGCTGCTATCATTTTTTCTATTTCTTCTTTCTTGAGAGCAACAGAAGATGCTTTTCTTTTTTCAGGAATATGTTGAAGTTCTCGACGTTTGCAATTCCGCGCATCTCGCGCGGTCTTAAATTCAATATCAGTGAACGGATCAATGTTTCTATTATACTCCCTGAAATATTTTTCCTGGATAAGTTTTGCGGTGACATTCCACAAAGTTTTGACAACAGATTCTTTGTAGTTTTCTCCATTTTTTTTTCGCATGTTATATGCCCAGTCCTCCATAATTGATGCGATTTGTTTCATCTCGGTTGTTGCAGTCAACTCATAATTACGTTCAAGGCAGAACTCCAAAAACTGTTTCCATATCGTATTCTTGCTTTTTGTGGTGTTGATTGGTGTTGCTTGTTCGACAGCTAAATGTATTGAATCAGCCGAGCTTTGACCAAATCTCGTGCTCATGTCGGTTTCTGTTAATGACTAATAATAATTGTAAAGTTTTTCCGAACCTATACCAACTCGTTTAAACGTTAGAGAAAATCACAAAATACGAAGTCTGACTGATACTTAACAATGGCGTCGGTTCTGAATTCGAAATGTTTACATTGAGACAAATAGCTGCGTTACCTTGACAACCAAGTCAAGTCAATGCTAATTCTCTAAAGGTGCCCCATAGACTGCGTTGTTGGTAGGCCGTTTTGTTCGTCGAACAAGTCTGTTCGAACAAAAAAGACACAAAACTAAAGTGTGTGGCCAGCGAAAACGAACATTTTACAGCCACACACTTCGGTTGTGCGCAATTTTTGTTCGAACAGACTTGTTAGTCGAACAAAACAGCCTATCAACATCGCAGTCTATGGGTCCCTTTTTGTATCCATTTGAAGGAAGATCCAAACGTGAATAAGTCATCGCGGTAATTTGATACTAACAAATTATCAGTATGATTCCGAATGATTGGCTAGAATCACGCATTGATATTGGTTGAAACAAGGAAAACGTCACATTTTGACATGTAAAAAAAATAATCAAAGACATAATTATGCTGCATGTCATATATGCAATAATTTACTCTCGCCGTCGGTAAAAAAGTATTCTAATTTATTACACAAAGATTCATATTGCCACAAATAGTTTCAACCAAGACTGGAGACAAAGATTGAAGAAGGAAGAATAGTATTTAAAGCAGGGTTGCGACGATTTTTTGATCTACCAGCTGGTGTCGGTCTGCAGCCTGTGAATCTGCTCACCTCAGCGACAGATTATTGTGGAGGAACACCAAAGAAACAAATGAACAACAGAAAATGACGCATTTGTTTTACAAAGAAAAAATAAGCAGATCAGAAATGCTTTGCTGTTTATGAATTGGGTAATTTGGCGTGATGTTTTTTTTTGCCACAATGTTTTCTGTTAACCATATATTATTGCTGAAAAACACAAATTTTGTGAAAAAACTTTTATTTATTGAGATATTTCAAGAAAAGGTTGAGAATTTCACCTTCTTTTCTCGCTTGTCTTGTATTTATAAGTATTTGCCCTTCCATTTTCATCATTGGACTATGCAAATACTCACAAATTTACTTCAATGACACATTTTATACACAAAAATCAACTAAAGATGTGTTTTATGTGATTTTTTCACATTCAATGAACAACTAGACCAGCTGAAAGCCATTTAATTATCACTTATAATACCACCAAAGCTTCAATCATTTCCGGAAATATCATTATCCCCAGTTGAAGATGAGGGAGAATTACCTAATTATTCATGTTTGAAAAAAAATTCTGGTTTTTAATTGAAGCTCGATTTGTAGTGGCTAAGAAAATATCACACTGTAATATTGTTGAAAAAATACTAGTATAAGATCATGCTGAATAAAATACAAAATGTTGACTTTAGCTGAGCAAAATATTGATAAAGGCAGCTGGTGGTGTTGGAACCATTATTCTTGACTAACTTTATTCTAAAGTTACAAGGACCTCAAAGCAGTATGTATTATTAATGCAATTCACATCCATAACATTGTTATGATACATAAAACATAATTAACTAACTTCATTTACACAAATTAATAAAAAATAAGTTGATAATAACCTTATAAATTTTTGACAAATTCACCAAAGTTGGTAGACATATATTTTCTCTCAAGAAACTGAAATTACTATTTAGTATCAATGAAACTTGCTCATCTAATATTATTTGGTTAAATATAATATACCTAATTATCTGACTTTACTGACTAGTTTGATGAAATAATAAAAAATAAGTGGATAATAGCTCAATCTTTCTGTTATTCACAAATTCATTTAGCTAAATTTGGTAGATATATTTTTTTGCAAGGAACTTATCAACTTTATGGAATTAATTACACATAATCTGAAGTTGAATGTTGATGTACTTTACCTATAGACATAAAAAAAATCTAGTGTAATTTCATGCTGCTTCCCCAAGGTAGGAAAAAAAATATCAGAAAATTTGTTTAGTTGCTATGGTGAAGATACAAAATACAGGCTTCAAATTGGTCAAAAATGTTAGGTGTGAAATTCACCACTACTGTAAGTAAATAAGATAACTCCAATTTATTAGGAAGATTTATATTCATAATGCCACAACTAGTTTCAACCAAGACAGGAAAAAAGGGAGGAGGAAGGAAGAATATCATTTAAAGCAGGGTTGGGATGATTTAAATCACATTTAAAGCAGGGCTCCAATAATTGAATCTTGTAGGTGGTGTTGGTCTGCAGCTGTTGTGTCTGCCCCATTTAATGCCAAAATACACCAAAGAAAACCATTTAAAAAAAATCACCTTTTTTTAAATTGACAACATATAAATAGCTATTTTTCTACAAATGGCATAAAAAATGACTTTTTGCTGCAATCAACTCAAAAAACAAGAATTGGTGGCGGAATTTCAAATGTTTTTTGCCAAATATCTGGTTATATGTATAATGGTTGGTTCATGTTTTCATCATATTCTCATCATATTTTCAGACAAAAATATGCAACAAATAAATTTTGAAAAAAAAAATCCATTGCATGATAGTATTGAAGTGCAAAATTACCATGAATAATTGCACCTGGAGATTTTAGTAGGTGGTATTTTTTCATGAAATTCCTAGATAAAAAGTGGTTTATACACATTTTCATCATAACATTCTTAGGTTACAGACAAAAATTACCATGAATTGCACCTGGAGATATTAGTCTCAACCCTGAGGAAAAATTGGAGAGTGTACTTACTTAGCCCCACCATTTTGTCAGGTATCTTCATGTCTTCATTCATCCCACCCATTCCCGGATTCTGTGGGGGCCTGCCGAGTGGCGGAGGTCCTTGGTTGCTCGGGGGTCCAATTGATCCAGGACCTTTCTTCGCATCCGGCTCGGAATCGAAACCTAACAACGAGATTAATAAACGAAAAATTAACCTTGAGAATATCTTACCCGAACCGTCTTCCAGTGGTCTTTTCGGCCGGCTGTCACCTGGATTGGATCCTGGGTTGATTTTCGCCGCAATCTGAAATAATGGAGGGCGGAAATGAGCCATCAGAAAAAAATTGTGGATTCGGTGATTATACGGCGAACCAAGAGAAAGCCATGGCGTGTTGTTTGCCGCTTGTTTGGCAGATTTCTTACCTGTTTGGCGCGTTGCAGGGCTGCAGCAAATGCTGAAGACTGGTTAAAATTTTGTGGTGGCGGAGCTACCGCAGAATAATCACTCATTTTTTTAAAACATCAACGAATATATAAACACACAACTTAAAATATTTTTTTCAGTCAAATGTAAAATGGAGTCCAACGACGCGTTCCACAAAGCCATGAAAAGAGAAAGAACATGGAAACCACAGTCCAGAGTTGCCAACTCAGACTTCAAAAGTCGCAGAATGGCCACCTGAAAACACCATAAAACACCATACCTTACCTGACACGAGAGCCTAAAGTTTTCGAACTATTTCCAAACCACATTGTCAGATTGGTCACAGTGAATCACGTGATACATTATGGACGCATGCAAATTCGATCGTAGAAAAACCTAACGAACTCTCTGGCCACACTCAGCCTACACAATTTTATTGCGAAAAATAATAATCAAAAAACACGAATCTCAACATATCACGTGATAGGAATGGTTCGAAAGATTTAGGCATTTCTACTCAAAGATAAATGCGCCGCAGGCGAAAATGTTTGCGGTTCTAGTGATTTTCTGGTGGTTTCAACTTCAGTTTTGATCCCTAAACTACACAAGATGGTATTTTGCACTTATCATGCGACGGTTTTTTTTTTAAATTTTTTTTTGTATCATCGAATCTTGGCTTAACGTGAATGGATGTGAAAAAGTTTTTTTTTTCAACAGGACATCAAACGAACAAAACGAATGCTTCATACAAAACATCATATGACATACTTGTATATATATGTTACGAATAAAACAAGAAAAATAAAGAAAACACATTGTTTTATATCCTACAAAAAACAGTCAAAATGTGGATATAATACCAGTAGACAGTGATTTCAGTTGAAACCAGTATTTCACTAAAAACTCTCCTCTAGTTTTAAATCGTTGAAATTAGATTTTCTCTATAAAACAGGGAGAATTCTAGATGCAGGTCCTCTACCACCAGATTTCACCATTTATTTGAAAAAAATCACCAAAATAAACACCATCCACTATAGTTGTCACAAAACGAAAACTTACCAATGTGAATTCCACTATGTTGGCAACACTGGAAGACGAAACACGAAACTAGGGTCCCTACACGAAACCAAACACGAAACAAGACCTCGTTAGAAATTTCACAAAACATCAAATTTCACTCTCTCCTCGTCCCTTTCGTATGAAGCGGCGTTCACAACCAAACTTTTTACGTTTTGCTTTTCACGTTTCGTATTCTGATTGGTGAAGCAAAATTTGTAATTGAAATGAAACAAAAAGCTGAAAATATTCAGCTTTTTGCGTTGCAAGAAGTCATCGTCTGTGAAAATAGTAAAAATAGACGAATAATATGGAACATGCTGGTAACAATATGGAAGTTATGATAATGTTTTCATGTTTCTTTCGTGAATCCACAGGATAGTAGATAGGTTTACTGTTCAATTCATTATTTTCTTGTAGAAAATTGATTTTTCTCTTCAAGTATTGAATAAGGATAAATTGTCGTCACCGCCAGTTCCATGGATATTATTAATTATCTGGTCAATATTATTGTTATGATTATTCACTTGATTTCAGGATGAAAAACAAATAACAAAACCAAGGCAACCGATCCATAAAAAGTCACGTTGATTTTTTGTTGTTGTGAATGACATTTGCATAGGTTTAGTTCACGTTTAATTTCAGATTCTGCTTCACCAATCAGAATACGAAACGTAAAAAGCAAAACGTAAAAAGTTTGATTGTGAACGCCGCTTAAGTGGAATATCTGAAGAAGATTCGAAATATCTATCGCTCCACCAGGCACGATGACGTCACGATGTTTGAATTGACTCATGTGTCAAAACTTACATAGAGTTCAATCAATGACGACTGCATAATATATCTAGACTGTCTGACGGGTTATAAATGCCCAAGAATATCTTACCAAGGATACTTTGGTTTTCAAGTTTTATTTCATGGAATCTGGTGATAATTTTTCAAAAGTGGTGATTTTTAATTCACTGATCTGGTGATTTTAAAGTATCAACTGTTGGCAACACTGGTTGAAAGTTGAAGGTCGAAGAGTTAACCAAAAAAATATCTAAATAATAATATTAACTTTCCCAATAAATTATAATAAATTGAAACTGAGAATCATTCGTTCTCGTTGTCATTTTGAAGGAAGCTGAAAACAATTCATGAACTTTTATATATCAACTTGGAATACTCGCTAACCATACAGGATATCAAATCACCAGAATGGCTGATAAAGAACAGGACAAACTTCCTGATATTGTAACTGACCAAGAAAGGGACATTGCTCAAAATGCTATATCTGAATTCAAGAAGTGAGTAGTTATCATGATTATGAAATATTAACAGTAAAAGTATATTTACTCTATAATAAGTTATAATGAAAGGTATAGGTAATCCACCAATATCTGTCATGTTGTGGGTTTCAGAAAGAACTACATAGCTTGTCTACAGTTCCTGAATAAGCTAGAAAATAGAAATAATGACTTGAAAGTCATCCATAATAAAGCAATCTTAGAATTCTACAAGAGTGATTGCAAGAAAACTGATTTACTACAGAAGAACTTGACTACTATTTGTAATCAGGTTGGCTTATCAACTCCCTTGCAAATCATATTCTGCATCATTGACATGAACCATTTAGTTCCAGATAAAATCTGAGAAGATGGATGATTTGGATCATTGCATTATTTTATTCAATCAAGCTGTTATACTGTACCACCAACGTCAGTACACTGCTGCACAAAGAATAATGGATAGGGTCTACAAATTCATTGAACCAATGGGTGGAGTATAACATTCCTTTTGTACAACTATAAATTATTGACATATTTTGTAGAGGAATCCCTGGCAAAGCAAGTCAGCCTCTTGGCAATAGAGCTGCAACTGTGTCTCAGACAACCTGATAAAGCATTGACCCTGATCAATTATTTAGAAAATAACTTGATGTATGGTGGGTCTATTCCATTGAAGGGTTTAGATAAAATGGGAAAAGAAAGAAAGGTAAGTTATCAGTGCTTTTGCTTTTATTTTGTTCACTCAAAACAATAATGTACATGATTTTAGATTCAACTGCCACCTCCCAAACCCTTGCCTGAAGAATTTGAGAGAAAATTACTTAAATATAAACTCAGGTGCTATGTGATGAACCACTCATTGAAAACTGCTGTCAAAGAAGTCCAAGTACTCCTTAAAGATAAATCAGTAAGTATTGGTTCTCCTTTTCATTCACTAGGTATTTCTTCATTTACCAATTATTTGATTATTCTCTGTCTCAATGGTTTGCTTTATTATTACCTGATAGTTGCATCAATATTATAATATATGTAGCTACTGCTCCAAAAAACTACAAGAGAAATCAATATTTTAAATGTGTCTGTGTACCCTGAGAGATTAATACTATATGTACTAAGTATTTTTCAAAGTTCAAAATTGAATATCTACCCATCATCAAGGTACATTCTTGGGTGCAATCAATTAGTTTGAATCTCTAAGAGTAAATTGTAACTTTTGCATTTGTGCTGTTTTTTATATTGCTGTACTGAATTTCAAAGAAATCTGTTCACACTGGGTATACTCACCATGAATATTAGCTTGTGGTTGATTGGGAAAAAACCAGCTGCATTGAATTCTGTCTGTTCATTTGCTACTTGCATAGTAAATATGTCTATTTCATCATCTAGAGCTGAGTCATCTGTGTCAATTTTGTACAAGAGTCTTCCTGTTTCATTGGCCTTAAACCAAAAAGATATATTGATCAAATGTTATTGAAAATGAAAGTTCTATTTGAAAATAAGATCTGGAGTTTTTTCCAAAACTACAATGTTGATCAATTATTGTATTTCAGAATAGTCCAGTGAATTTCAGAAAGTGTCATTTGTATTTTTTTCTGAAATTTATTAATTTTATTTATCAAACAAATATGTTCCAGACAGAATAGGATCTGGTATATGGAAGTACATAACTATATACCTATAACTAAACACATCAACAACTATAAATTGGTGAACAAAGAATGATATTCCTAGAAAAAACATAGTAAAATAACATGACTAATTTTATATCTGGTATTTCATCACATGGGAGACCATTCAGTACTTTTAACGATTTTCTATGTAATGATTATAATTTATTGAAATTATTTTTTGGCCAAGATCCCCAAACATTTATTAAATAGTTCATAAGACTCAGTATATATGAGAGTAGAGAATCATGTTTGCACTTTTTTATTTCAGGATTTGTTATTTGATACAATTGATTGATTGGTTGGTGTATCAAATGGGAGAGCATACAGTTCTTTTAACGATTTTAAATTTTAATTTGACGGATTTTTAGTATATTTACTCAGACCAATTTCATTGATATTTTGAACAAAAAGTAAATATAGTATAGGCCCTTAAACAGATCCTTGTGGAACACCCCTAATAATTAATAGTTTATATGACACCGAGTTGGTGGATTTCATATTGAATATCCTACTTTCAAGATATGAATTTAAAACATTTCTCACAGTGCCTCTGAGTCCTATTGATTCCATTTTCTAAAAGTTTTGTTTGATTAACTGTGTCCAAAGCCTTTTTGAGATCAATCAAAACATCTACCACATAATTTCCTAATTCAAGTCCTTTCTGGATTGATTCTATCACTTGTAATACTGCTTGTGTTCCACTGTTCTCTCAAAAACCAAATTGATTAGAATCAAAGCTATATTTTTTGTTGATGAACTCTACAATGTGTTTCTTGAGAATATTTTCAAAAATTTTTGAACATATGCTAGTTGAAGCTATTGATCTATAGTTTCTGGGATCTTGAGCATCTCCATTTCTGTAAATAGCTCTTACTGATGCATGTTTCAATTCTTATGGGAAATCTTTTATGAAACATTCATTGGTCAATTTTGATATTGGTGTAGCTGAAATGGTTTTCTTTTCAAATATGTCTTTGGTTATCAAACCTTCTGGATTAGTGACTATTCTGAAATACAATTGACGCTTTTAGAAATATCACTGAAAAATTTGTAGTTGGTATAGTCTAATTTTTTACTTGAAAAGATCTCTTACTAAGCAATCCAATAATTTGTCCAGTTATGCGCTGGTTGACACTCAATGAAATTACTAGTCACTAAAGTCACTAAACATAAAAAACAACTCAACTGCTCTAGTCACATTATTCTAACGATTTTATTTATGGTGCCAACCAGGCGCCATATTGATTTTAACCTAAGTTGGATTGCCTAATTAACAAGCATCCAAGGTCTGGAGTATTTTAGTAGTTAATCTACTCGTCACTAGAGCTCACCTCATCCGTAGTAGCTTGACACAAATGACAAAGAAATGCGGTACTTGTCGTAAAGCACACGGATCTCATTGAACTAACAAGTTTCTTATACCACATCTCTTCCGAGTATACTAGATAATACATCCCGATAACCACTTGCGCAAAAGTAATCAAAAGCAAGGATAAAATACTAATTCCGAATGTTTCGTTGATACATTGAATAGCGTCCGCTAGACTGGCATGCATAGCGGCGAACTCATTGACTACCAATATGGTATTAACTGGTCTTCTAGCAGCTCCCCTGAAACCTCTGAAGTCCAGGGTCCTCCGTGACAGTTTCCGAATTTCACGGTTTATATACCGTAACCTTTGCTTAATCAAGTAGACATAGCACGACACTTGAATACATAATGCTCCATTATACATCACGGGCATGTAATATAACATATTGCAGCTGAAATATAATGTTACCGTAGTAATTGATATGTATGAATTGCCACTCAAACTGGTTATGATGGATTCTACGAGCTTCACGACGGTGATGATGATCATAAACTTGGAAACGGACTGGTAGCTTGATTTGCCGTTGAGATTTTTGAACATAACCTCAATGTTGTTCAGATTGTTCAACAGGCGGATGTGTTTCTTTCGGAGGAAAATCGGCGTGAACAAAATGGTGGTCATGAAAATGGCAAACTCGGCGCAAATGAGAGTATCTGTCGTCGTGATTAACACTTTTTGGTTATCTCTGTGAAATTTCCTACAAATACACGGATAACTTCCGATCAAATAGAATAGTAAGATGGACGTGTTCCATAGGTATTTGTTTTTTGCATAGCCTATGCAATTCGTTGTAGGAGAGACTATGGAGAGACCGATTATTTTAGTAATTGTTAATAGAGGGCCAAAAGCCCCGATGAACTCGTTCAACATGTCTTTTTTGAATGCAAGGGACGAATAATAGGATTAACGCCTTTTTTCGGACTGATCTAGATAACATTGTCGATTTAATGGATTGACGATACAAATTCCAACCGTTGTACCGCCTCTTATGAATAACTCATCATACATTCTATTGAAAAGATATTTTTGTTCAAATAAGACTAACCCAAATATCATTCGTTATTTCAATATCTTCAAAAATTCAGTGTGGGATGAAACACTTCATCATAGGTTAAAGAACTCATCCTCACCTCATCTACTGTGGATTTGCACGAATGACACAGCAACACAGTGTTCGCAATATAGAAAATAGACCTCAGTATGTTTTCAAAATATTTGACCCATGTCATCCGATCCCAATGGGGTAGGTGATATATCCCAATGACCATTTGCAAGAAAGTTACCAATATAACTGCTAGGAAGTCAATCCCAAACGAATCGTTCACCGATGTTATCAAACCGACCAGATCGTGGTGGATATTGCTGAGTTCTTTTAGTAAAAATATGGTGTTCGTGCTCCTAAGAGAACACGAGAGTTGTTCGATTTCTTTATTGAGTAAACTGAACCTAGTTTTGATTAGGTATATGTAGGTAGACATTTGGAGACCGAACATGCCCAGATTCACCAAAGGGAATAAAAAAGAAATCTGGCATGTGGACACTTGAAGGAATGGCCCCGTTGTGTACTGAACACTACATACACAGATATCCAGTACGGGTCCAAATATTTCAGCGACAGCTATGAACTTCAGTAGTTTCTCCATCGCTTTGTAGTCCCTGTCGCCAAATAACTGTTCGTATTTTCTCTCTAGCCTCTCTATGTCTTCTGTTAAAGTCACGTGGTTCTTTCGAAATACTATGGCGCTCAAGAGGATTGTAGTGCTGAAAATCACGTTGGATAGGGTCAGGAGAATGTCAGTTGTTCTAAGAAGCACATTTCGATCGTCGAAGATTTTTTTCTGTTCATCAATGTCTAGTGACTTGGTGCACATTGTAGCGAACGTAATATACATAGCCAACATGATAGTGTTGTAGATGCATCCTCTCATGGATATAGCGGTGACATCGGTCAATGAATACGTTGAAATCCCGGCCTTTTTGCCGACCCAAAGTACTGTTCGAAAACACTTTGCAAAAGAATGAGCTTTCTTAGACATAGTCCTAGTGGGTGAGAAGTTTTATCACTTATAACATGTTATACAGTGCTAATACGTTGAATTGGTGTTGATAGAAATATATTGATTTTTCTTTGAAACATGGTATTATTGGTATTATTATGTTTTCTTGTCGACGTATTCCATTATCTTTATTGTATTGGTTTAATAAAGTGTGTGTGTCCTCGTTTACAGAAATAAATAAAGTCTCCCAATCGAATTGATGCATTTTTATTTCTCTTTCAGAGTATTGATGCGATGTTTCTAGCGGCGCATGTAGAATATTTAAAAGGAAATCACAAGGACGCTGTCAAAATTTTGACAGCAATACCGGCGGATTGCTTATGTTACAGGTGAAGCAGACATGTAAACTACTTGTTGTGATGAAACATTGGTTGGTGCGCCGTTGTACAATTTGTAATTGACTTATCTTTCAGTTCTTGTGGAGAATCGTCGACGGTGATGTTCTACAGCAACATGGGTGTCATCCACCATGCCCTAGGAAAACCAAATCTAGCTTGTCATTATTTCCAGATGGCTTTGAAAGAGGACTTGAAAGGCACCCAAAAGAACGGTTCAAGAAAGGACGATAGTGAGTCGAATATCTCTCTTACATATCGATGTTTAAATGGAGGTTTCAGGTGAACAGTTTTTGTACTGTTTGGGCAGTACAAAGTACCACGAACTGATGTATAACCTTGGGATTTCGTTGCTCCACGCTGGAAAACCGACTCAAGCTTTCGACTGCCTTATAATAGCAGTCAGAAGGTATCACCGGAATTCCAGATTGTGGATGAGATTGGCGGAATGTTGCATTATGATCCACAAAGAGGTATATTTTGGATCCATAGGCTCATCATCCCAAGAAGATGCAACATCCGACCCATATGTTGGGGCCGTTAGGGTTAAATTATCATTATTGGAAAGAAACTGCATCTCTTGCTATTTTCACTAGTTGGCCGATGGATAGAAACAGAATAGGATGAAACGTGTAGTTATTAACAGGAAGTCATCAGAATAGGAACACCGGGCCTCGGATTGTTTATTCAGTTCTCAATTCAATTTTGAATACGCTCCCTATCAAAGTAGCTTGTAAGCTTGAAGTGATTGGTGTTGGTCTCTTGTTTATCAATTGTCATGCGATTCAACTGGTCGTTTAGATTTTGTTTGATACAACTATCACGTCTGCTCCCCAGCGGTGGTTTGATTACTATACAGGGTTTTCAAACGAGTCGGCACTATTGCTAACTTGGTCATTATTGGAGCTTGAAAAATTGAACGTCGCGTTCACGAGTTACCTCAAACAGTTCAATTCTTTGAATAGGACACCCAGTATGCAATATTCTCAATCAATTGGATATTCGATTCTGAACAAAAACAGTCGTATAAAATTCTATCCTAAATTCAAAAATTACCGAGCTATTGACGATTTCTTTTTACTTGTATGTCAAAAGGTTCTTTTTCTTTAATGGGACACCCAGTATAAAGTAGTTTAAATTCGATTCTGGAAAGAAAATATTGATGATTTTTTGTCAAAGTGATTGTGTTAATCAAGGATGATTACTTTCTAACTTTGCCTTACTACTAAGTAAAAAGAAATCGTCGATACCTCAGTCATTATCATTTGAGAATATTGTATACCGGGTGTCCCATTCAAGGAAAAAATAGTTTTTGACATGAAGGTACAGAGAAATCGTCGATAGCTCGATTGTTGCGAATCTAATATCCTATCGATTGAGAATACTGTATACCTACTTTTTGACACAACTCGTGAACGCGATGTTCAATTTTTTCTCGATTCCATAATCGCAATCAGCGGAAAATAGTACTAGTTTGTCCACTTACAGACTTTGTAGCTCCAATGATAAGTAAGTTAGCAATACTGCCGACTTGAGTTTGAAAAGCCTGTATAATTCAACTACGTCTCTGTGAATGAGAATTTTGCCCAATGATGCCGTAAGCATCTAAATAATTTTGTCTTCTTGGGATGATAATTTAATGTGCCTTTCCAACAATACGAAAATCCTACAAACCATTCGATTGCAGACCAACGAAATCGACTTCGAAAAACAAAAAAACCTCATCGCCGACATAGCCGGCTCCAGGGACAAGCAACGCCTCGTCCTCACCACCAACCTGTCCAAAGACAAGAAATACAGCTCGGACAGCCAATCCTATGCCGTGCCCGTCCCCACCCTCGAATTCGCATCGCTGTGCCTGCGCAACGCGTCCCTGCTCGTCCCCTCTCAAACGGCCACACCCCCCGTGCCGCTCTTCCTCATTCCCGGCGTCACGCCTCCCGCTCCGCCCCCTTCTCCTGGCCCCGCCCCTTCCAGCCCGTTGGATGGGGAGGGCGTGGCTACGCTACGTAATGGTATATTAGCGGCGAGCGCGTATGTGGCGCTTTGTTTAGGGGATTACGTGGTAGCGTTGGAGCATGCCAAGGAGATGTTGGAGCAACCGAAATTGTCGGGGCTGCACAAGTGAGTGAAAACACCCTCTAGGCCATTCAAAATAAGCGATACGCCCTCTAGCGGATATTCAAGTAACCAATGGAAAGTACATTGAATGTTTGCTAACATCCGAGTTTCCATGCATTTTGTCGTAAGTTAAGTGGTCTTTTTGTGATATTTTTCGATTTGAATTCTTCAGTAGAGTATCATGAATCATTATTGCTCGGTTTGACATGTTATTCATGGAAGTTTTCTTACATATTTCACAGGAAATGATAATTAATAATTAAGTTGCATTTTATTCCCAAAAGTGAAAAGTTACAGAAGCAATTTGAAAAAATGGAATCCTTACTTAGAAGCCATGCGCATATGTTCAATTTTTCTATGATTGTAGAGGCGACTGGTGGTAGTCCACAGGGCAGGACCCTTTCCCAAAAATGATTTGTCTATGCGACTAATTGACTCTATTTTCGACTTTTTTAGGTTACTTGCACATTTGTATGCTGCCGAAGCTTTAGTATTGCTGGATAAAATTTCAGACGCGATAGATCATTTGAATCCCGATAATATCACAGATATATCCTTTGAGTTATCATCAGATAAGGAAACGGTTGATGAGGAGGTGATGAAAACGAATCCTCCTCCTAGTGAGTTGAAACACACTTTCTCGTATTCGTTTTGTCATTCATAATCGATTTGTAGGGTGGTTTCCGAATAATCTGCAAACTGTTCATGCTGTCATGCAGTATAATATTGCAGTGGCAAAGACAATTCGTGGCCAGCTAGATCAAGCAACTGGTATATTGAGACAAGTTTGGCAGCAGAGAGGTCAGACTTGTAAAGTACCAACTCATATATTCATGTTATTCATTTATATCGAGCTGCAATTAGGTGAGGTTATGTATATTGTGTGTTCTGCCATTGGTGAGTTTTCTTCAACAGTACTCATCTCTACTCAGTGTTGATGTGTTGTACATAACACTATACAGGGCGACAACTGATGAAGGAAATTCACCAATCACACTCATTTTATAATATAGGACTATATAAAAGGCATAAATAAGTATAACATTTTTTTTGTTTTCACAGGACACACGGATGTTGCCAAAAATTTGATTCGACATTATCCATACCAACAGAGAATAACTGTGTGACACCATCATTTTTAATGAGTTTATGGTTAGAAGAGTTGATGTTGATTGATTTTTTTTTGTTGAAAATATACTGAATACATGTTCGAAAATATGATATGAACAAGCTGTAATTAATAATTGAAATCGAATTAACAGTTTATTTATTAATTTGAATATTGGGGGGTCCCAGTTTCTTCCAACTGGGACCGCGTTTTCCAAAGAACTAACCGAAAACAATTACAACTTTTTTTTTCTCCATCTCTTGGAGCACACGAAAGAGAATTCCTGTGTAATGTTCAAAGAACATCGTGCATAGCGGTAGGTGAGAACGTGTATAGTTATTGAATTTTTTTCAACGTTCGGCCGTTTTTATTGTTCCTGATGTGATCGAATTACATATTATTAAAAGCCATGATATTAAAGTGTTCAATTTTCAAAATTAGATGGCCTGAAAATAATTTAATTTGTGACACGTGACACCTATTCCCTAGACGCTGAGGATTGCGCAAGTGTGAGCAAAACGAATTTTCGCCTTGCGCCGTCAGAGATAATCTCTGGCGCCGTGCAGTGCAGATTAACTACTCGTAACAGAAATACACTACAATGGTTTTACTCTAGTTTTACTAATGGAAAAACCAGAAAAATCTTGTGTTCTGTGTCGTAATGTGTCAGTGTTTTACGTTATGTCCAAATGTCATCGTTTGGCAAGACGGTTTGTTGTTCTGTGTCTTCTGTCACTTGTCAGTTTTATTTCGAGTGTGAAGTGTGACTAGTGGGAGGGGATCATTAGAAAGAAACGAAAGAAAACAGTGGTTTGCTTGTAGTAATGGTGGACGAGATCCGCGATTTAAATCAAAATAATGGCTCCAAATAACAAATTCTTCGACTAATCGAACTGTTTATGAGAGGAATTCCTCGGTCGGGGTGTTGCGTCAACTTATAGTGAAGTTTGGTTCAGGTATTTTTCGGACGAATACGAGCTTTTTCTCTTCCTAATGACTTCCGAAGAAGTCCAGGATATGTGGTAGCTGTAAACAATACAAATTTCTTTCTAATGTTGACACCAAAACTCTATCGCAAGTAGTGATAACGGGAGGTGTTGCTATGAATATCATGGAAGGAGCAATGGAAAGGGAATCGGGAGCCCTCGGTGGTCTTTTCCATCAAATTATCCAGGATATGAAGGCAAGTTTTGAGTTGATTACTATAGGGGTGAATGAGTTCATTGAGGGCTACTTTGAATCTTAAATTATGCAGATATCAAGCAGATGTAGCACCACTTGATTGAAATTTTTAAACTTAATTCATCACCTATATTATGATTCAATAATCATTACTTAATGATATAGGTAATTGCTCTTATTAGTCATGAACCTACATAAAGAGTATCTTGGTATCTTTATACTTCTGTACATTGGGTCAATGCTTTTTTCATTAGATTTATTAGTCATAAGCTCATCGGCTGTAGGTTACCTTTACCTACCTAGATTTTCAACTCAAAGTAATTCAAAATCATGGGTATGGCATATCTAACCACTAGTACTGGCCCTTATATTATACCTTTTACCCTCGTTTTTACCCGTTTTTACCAGATTATCTAGGTGTCCTCACCTCATGAAACAATAATATCCCAGATAATACCCCAATACTAGGTTAGTATCTTGAAAAATACTGCCGTGGAAAGTATGTAAACTTCAGAGCAAACTTTTTTTGGTCATAAAATATGTCTCATGTTCATTTTGCACAAGTTCCCTTGATCTGCTTCATCTCGAATGAAGTAGGCCCAAGTAATTCCATCACTGCCATTTAGGCTCATTAATGCTGGGTTTATAGATTCAACCAAACTGAGAATTAAACTAACAACTATGAACTTAAAAAGTTGAATACAAGGAAACATCCTGGAGGGTTTATTCAATTACATTTGTAATTTAAATCAAGAACTAAGAATTACAAAGTTGGACAACTATCAACTTAACAACTAAGAATTATGAAATTCTGGAGACAGAACATGACTACTTATTGGATTTGTTATTGTTCAAGTATGGAATATTTTTCATTGATTCATGAATTGTGGGGACCAAAATCCGAGAACATCATTTTGATCTTTAATCAAGACATCTCACATTTAATTCTCAATTAATATCAGATATGTATAAACACCCTCATGATTATTAATTATTAATTGTTGATTCCTAATTGTTAATTTAATTGAATTTATAATCCCCCAGCATTAGGCCTCAATGGTGATAATTCAAAATTCAATGTAAATATTTTGAGATCATACCTAGGTATTGTTGGGATCAAAATTAGACTTTCCTCATATTATAAATATGTTCAGAGGAGGTCAGAATATTCACCTACATCTAATGTTGAACCAATCTGTACCTACCTTATTATATTTTATTTTTTATTTGTGTATGATACTGGTGAATTTGTAGAAGGAAAATATGAGTTGCCACAGAATAGATCCTTGAGTTGTACTTAGGTAGGTATACAACGAATCCTGATTGCCTACTAACTTTATGAATGGCACTGTATACTGGTTTTAGAAAGGGGGACGGACGCTCTTCTCATAACCGCGAACCAGATACCAGATGTTCTAGTAAACGGATACATTAGCAGAAACCAGATAGGTATATCCACTCCATAAATTTGCGCGCGGATGGATATCTTCTGGAGTTTCGATAAAAAAATTGCCGCCCACATTTCCCATCCTCCGGATTCTCCGGTGAATGGAGCTTGGCGTGAGGCGTGAGCGTCACGTGGGCTCTAATTTGTTTTAACATTGGAAACAAAAGATTTATTGAAGCAGTTGGAGAAAATTATAGCGTTCTGTATGCACAGGGCCTCACACAGGGCGATGCTTTTATAAACGAGGTGTTATACAGGGTGTCCGCTAAAAGGAGGTCAATCCATTAACCACATATTCCTTGAACAAAAACAATATGAGTTTCTAAATATCATTTTTCATTTTAGCCCTTCATATTCGGTATACAGGGTGTCAAAGTTGGAAATTAAAAACTGCTTTTTTCTAATTACTCGCGTATTTGATAAGATATTAATCTCAAAATTGGTACATTACTTCAGCACAAAGAGTTACATCGTGTGAGGAAAACAAAACAGAAAATAACTCTCAAATATTCAAGATACTGGGGGTCAAGTTCACACTTACCCCCATATTTTGTTTGTACGTGCGCTAATGACTTCCTATCTATTTTCCTTCAAGTGTTCAATCATTTTTGAGTATTTTTTGTTTCCTGTAAAATTTCGATTGAATCATTTGTTTTTAAGATAATTCGAAAAGTACTGGTTATTGTTTGATGCCTATGCGGCTTAGGTAATCTCATAATGTTCACATACTCCTATTTATTTCGTCGAAATTGAAAGAGGGCGTATCTTTTTACGTACGAAAAGGTAAATATGGAAATACCGGGTGCTCGGAGCAAATGTACTAAAATAATTTTTACAAAAAAAAAAAAAAATTTAAAAAGTGTAAAAATTATTTTAATACATTCGCTCTGAGCACCCGGTATTTCCATATTCACCTTTCTGTACGTAATAAGATACGCCCTCTTTCAATTTCGACGAAATAAATAGGAGTATGTGAACATTATGAGATTACCGTAAGCCGCAAGGCATCAAACAATAACCAGTACTTTTCGAATTATCTTAAAAACAAATAATTTTAACGGAATTTTACAAAAATCAAAAAATACTCAAAAATGATTGAACACATGAAGAAAAATAGATAGGAAGTCATTAGCGCACGTACAAAAAAAATATGGGGGTAAGTGTGTACTTGACCCCCAGTATTTTGAATATTTGACAGTTATTTTCTGTTTTGTTTTCCTCACACGATGTAACTCTTTGTGCTGAAGTAATGTACCTATTTTGAGATTAATATCTTATTATACGCGAGTAATTAGAAAAAAACAGTTTTTAATTTTCAACTTTGACACCCTGTATATCGAATAAGAAGGGCTAAAATGAAAAATGGTATTTAGAAACTCATATTATTTTTGTTCAAGGAATATATGGTTAATCGAGTGGTTAATGGATTGACCTCCTTTTAGCGGACACCCTGTATACACTATATTCAATATGTTCGCCAATATAGGGTGGCTCCATCAATCCACCAACTGCGTTCTTTGGTGGATTCCAGTTTGACGTCACCACGCTTTCATTTATTATTGTTGTGTCAACCAAAATTGCGAACCATTTCACCGATGTACAGGGTGGACGAATTTTGGTGGCTTTCTCGGTGGCTTTCGAAATGACAGCGACAGCATAACCTCAAAAAACTAATGACAAAATATTGGATTTGAAAGCTGTTTGTCATTTGTCTAAGAAAAATTATGGATGAATGGGCTTATATCACAAAAAAAAATTATTTCATAATTCGATAGAACCGTAAACTAGCTCACCACCGCAAACCGTTTCTTGCTGTGAGCTCCCTGCGTTTTATAAAAAATTATTGATATCCCCGATTTTTCAGACCTCTGAAAACGAGGCGATGATGTGACGTCAAAACCCTAATACTGAAACAAGACTATTCCAGACAGAGATGAATGATACATGATTTCTGACAGAGTGAATAAGCGCGAGATCACAGTTGAAAGAATTAATATATCAGTTGCCTCAGTCTCTGCCGAGCGTTTGGTATTTTCTTTCGAGTTTTCTTTTAACTATGGCGAGATGAGGTTTCTACGTCATTAGAGCGTCCGTTTTCAGAAGGTACTATTATTCATGTCGAAAAATAAAACATTCCAGTTAATTTTTCGATCGAATTATGTCGTCAATCATTATTTATATACAGGGTGGGTCACGGTCGATGGCACCTTAGACGTTTACGGAGAACGGGACATAAGATCATTCTGAAAATTTGGTTACTCAAGTAATTGCTCTATCGATCTAAAATATTTTCAGCTCTGCGGCGTTGCCGCTTCTATCGAAAAGTAGCAACAACTTTGTTATTTTAAATGGAACACCCTGTATTTTATCGCATTTTCAGATTCTTTCTGAAGAGCTGATTTCATCGATGTATCACACTTGGGGTCTAGCGGAAATGATTACAGAGATATAGGGTGTGAAAAATCGACATTTTTCAACTTTAGGAATTTTTTTTGTCAAAACTATTCATTATTGGTCAAAACGGCTCACATGTCCCTATCCCAACTTTTGATCAACTATCTACTGACATTTAATTGAAACAAATACAGGGTGGTGCAGAATTCAGATTCTTGATCACCCGGTATATGTCCCAATTAAATATCAGTAGATAGTTAATCAAAAGTTGAGATAGGGACATGTAAGCCGTTTTGACCAATAATGAATAGTTTCGACAAAAAAAATTCCTCAAGTTGAAAAATGTCGATTTTTCACACCCTATATCTCTGTAATCATTTCCGCTAGACCCCAAGTGTGATACGTCGATGAAATCAGCTCTTCGGAGAGAATCTGAAAATGCGATGAAATACAGGGTGTTCCATTTAAAATAACAAAGTTGTTGCTACTTTTCGATAAAAGCGGCAACGCCGCAGAGCTGAAAATATTTTAGATCGATAGATCAAGAGCAATTACTTGAGTAACCAGATTTTCAGAATGATCTTATGTCCCGTTCTCCGTGAACGTCTAAGGTGCCATCTACCGTGACCCACCCTGTATAAAAGGATCATTATAAACATGGTTTGAGTTAAAAGTTCTACTAAGGTATACACGCCCATTAATCGAAATCATCCTAAAATATGAAAATAAAAGAATAGCTGCATTATTGATACCAACAGAAATTGAAGAAATTTCGAGTGGTAGGTATTTTTTTCTGTCCCATCATGAATTTCAATAAATTAGTGCAAATATTCAGGTAAGTTGAGTACCAACAGAGGATTCTTATTAATGACTATCCATATCATCATAATTTAATGCAATGTTTTGTATGTAGGTTGTTGAGAATTTTCAACCTATCTCGTCTACTCCCCAACATAAACAATATTTCCTCCTCGGAACTATCCGGAACTATCAGAAGAACTGCTAGAACTTCTGGATCTAGAGGCAAGGACTCCAATAACACTTTTAATTCATCATTTTCCATTTTCCAGTAGTTTTTGCCAATTCTGAGCTTCTAATAGAAAATAATCTAAATCCCATCAAATCACGAAAAGACGAGGGGTAAATCTCCTGGAAAAATG